CCCTACACGAAGAATGCAAAGAAAATCGCTAGGATGATTCACCAAGCCAGCTGAAGAACTTCCGGAACAAGCCGGTGTACAAGTATGGGCACCAGGTTCCAAGGAACCATGCTGAGGCGGTCTTCATCGACGAAAAGAATGGAAACACAAAGTGCAGGACTCAGAAGAACTCGAGATCAAACAGCTCTTGGAATACGACACGTTCAAGAGCCTAGGTCTCGGAGCGCAGTACCAAAGGGCTTCCAGAAGATCCCCTGCCACATGGTGTATGACATCAAGATAGAGGACGACAAGTCGAGGTTTGTGGAGGGGACACAGAACGGAGACGCCAACTGATTCTGTGTTTTCAGGTGTTGTCTCTCTTCAAGGAATTCGCCTTGTCCCTTCATTGCGGAATTGAATGACTTAGAGTTGTGGGCCACGGATTTGGTAATGCATACTTGGAGTCCTACACAACTGAAAAGGTATGCTTCATTGCCGGAGCGAGTTTGGACCCCTGGCCGGACACACAATGCAGATGATCAAGGCACAATATGGACTAAATCTTCTGGAAAGTGCTTGGCATGACAAGTTGTTTGATGTGCTCACTCCATGGGATTCAAGCCCTCACGTGCTGAGTCTGACATCTGGATGAAGGATCGGGGAGACCACTATGAGTACATTGCGTGTACGTTGATGACCTGCTCATTGCATCACGTGAGCCCCAAGTAATCATAGATGGACTGATGGCCGAGCCCCACAAGTCAAACTCAAAGGCACTGGTGAGGGGAGTTCCACCTAGGATGCAACTTCAAACGCGATGAGGATGGGACACTCACAATGTCACCATTCAAGTACATCGACCGCTTGAAGCACAATACCTTACCCCTTTGGGGAGAAGCCGTCACCAAGGTGACCAGTCCTGTTGAGAAGAATGATCACCCGGAGCTTGATACTTCCCACTGTTGGACGATGATGGGATCACCAAGTACCAGTCCCTAATTGGAGGATCCAGTGGGCTATTTCCCTTGGAAGGTTTGATGTGGAGTTGCAGTCATGACGCTTTCCTCGTTCCGAGTAGCCCCCGTGTGGCCACCTGGATCGATTTAAGAGGATTACCGGTTACCTGGTCAAGATGAAGATGGAGGCATCCGTGTACGAACCGCTATCCGGATTACTCCCAGTTGGAAGTCAGGAAGTATGACTGGACAAAGACATGTACCAAGGAGCTGAAGAGAACTCCCTGGTGACGCACCTGCCCCCAAGGGCAAGCCCGTGTCTTCACCACCTACGTGGATTCCAACTTATACCACGATTGGGTGACGGGGAGAGCCGTCAATGGAGTCCTACACTACGTGAATCGACTCCCTTTGAATGGTACTGTAAGAAGCAGGCCACCGTCGAAGTGGCGACTTATGGTTCCGAGTTTGTTGCGCCAAGATAGCTTCCCAACAAGCTGTCGCTGCCCGCATCACATTGAGATACTTGGTGTTCCAGTGCAAGGCCCCACATACATGTTCGGAGACAATGGGTCCTTTGCACAAGCTCGACACAGCCCACTCCTAGTGAGGCTAGAGGCTGATTCTTTGCACCTCTTCTCTGTTGCAGGTGTTAACTCAATACACTTTGATACTCTTTAGGTCAACTTGACTTACTATCTTCGAGACGGTTGATTCTTCGAACTCGAGAAGGACTTTTGCTTTTCAGCTTAATCTAAAACCAAATTACTCCCCAATAAGATTTACATGCGAACCGGACTAGATGATTAATACACGAGTCAATAGTAAAGAGGTGTCAGGTATGTTTCCTCCAACAACAGATTTGAGCTTCTTCTGGTAAGGGTTGGGGTGCGGTTTCTTGGCGGCGCCTGACACAAAAGGATGGTTTTGACGGTGGTGAGGCGGATGGGGCAAGACGGCACCAGCATTTCCTACAAGTGGACAACCAGTTCCTTCATGGGTGGTGCGACGGGGCGATTTCTTCGATTTGCCTCTTTTGCGTTTGCTACCACGAGATCCAACGGTGGATGCAAAATCGGAATGATCGTCATCCCCATCCTGTCCCTCGTCCCGCTCTGGTTCCATCAAAATTGGCGTGTCGTCTACTGGATCTTGAGGATCGTCTTGTGGTTCCGTGTCGAAATTGGTGATACATTCACCCGTTTCGCCAAAAGCTCGATCTTGTTTTTCCCAACGATCATCAAACGAATGAAGGGCGGCGGCACGGTTTGACTCTTGTTGCTCTTGGTGCGCCGATCGAAGTCTCATTTTCCGCGCTTGTTTTGGATCGGCTGGGAGCGGCGGTGGTGGATTTGCTGCCGCTGCGGCTGGAGGTCGAAGTTGGAGTAGGAGGCTGGCATTTTCGAATTGCGAGCAAGTGGGGTGGTTTTCCTTGTCGGAGGTGTCTTCTGGAGAATCGGCAGAGGACTGAGCGAGTTGCAAGGGAGAGCCATCTTCGCTTCCAGAACCTTCTTCGCTTCCAGAGCCTTGGTCGTCTTCATCCTCGCTAGAATCTGATTGAGAGGGTAATATCAATTGCTCACTCTGATCGTCTTCAGCTGCGGCGGAAGAAGCTGAATTACTCTGCAAGGTGAGTTCACCAGTGGCTTGACTCCAGTGTACAGTTCCATGACTGTTGTGTTGAGTAAACTCCACAATCTCTTCGTCATCTGCTGCAGCATCAGCAATTTCTTGTTGCAGCAATAAGGCTCCTTCGGTGCCATTGGCAGTGGCTTCTGCTATTGAGGCAATCTGGGAGAAGAGTGATTGACCAGTACCTTGGAAGGAGCCTTTTGAGCGAGTGGCTCTACCCGTACTACTACTGGTACCTGCTCCCGACATGATGACCTGCTGACAAAGCGGCGGTACGGCGGTACTGACGTGAGCGATGCCAAGAACTCGATGACTGGACTGATGATGACTTGACTCTGGTCTCTCACTCACCACACACCACCGAGAGGCAACAAGATCGACGAGGAAAAGGAACTCCACGAGACAGCTGCCGCGAAAGCAAAGACACCAGCCTTACTGGAGATGGCGTGACCTTTTGACTGGTAAAGGCGGCAATAGGAGCCACTAGTGACTGGGTGATGGTTGCGTGATGTTGTGGCTGTTGAATGGCATCCGTTCGAGGTGTGCTGCATCAGCTGCCGCATCCGATCCAGGCACTGCAGCAGCAAAAATGGCTCCATTTCCATTGGTTCGAAACCTAAAATGTGAGCTAAAAAAATCATTACTTAGATGTCTGCAGCGTGAGTGGGTTCCAACATTAACACATCTCCGCTGGTGGAGTCTCGCTGTCACTTAGATCTCGCCAGGCCGGTCTCGCGCGTTCCGAGCCTTCGGCTCTCCTTTTCGCTCTCGCCCGTCCAGTCTCGCTCTAAGTGCCATCTCGCCTCTTCACCAGAGGAGACGTGTTCCTGTATAGTACATCGTACCGGTACAGTGTACCGTACTCCGTTCATTCTGCAAAGCAGCTTTGCTGTCATCGTTTTGAAATTGAAAGCTCTCACCACTTTTCTCCACTGCGCTCTTCTTTTCTTCATGAAAGAGAAGATGATGTGTTCACCAAGCTCACCACGTGTACGTGTTTTTGCTCACATGTGTTCTTCTAGTTGTGATAGAAGACTTATTCTACAATGCATCCATCGCTCTTCCGGATATAGAAGGCCAAGGTCGAAATCGCAGTATGCGAAGAGGAGACTTTCTCCGCTGGGGTGCTATCTCCTCCTCCAATTCATCAGCTTCTACTCTGAAAGATTCTCCTCAGAAGACAGCTATTAGAGAAGTGAAATGGGCTGGTATTCCTCCCAGCGGAGACAGGGCACAGCCTAGTTTAATGGGGTTTCTGCGCAGCTACTGGCGACACAATCGTCTGTGCAAGACATTTTTTGCCAATGCTGATACTGCTAACAATACTAGTACACTACAGCGACTCAATGTTACCCTGGGATGTCAAGAGATACATGAATATGGACAAGCAGGAATTGGAAATTATGCCACTGCAATCTATGGAATTCGATTGGCTGCACAAGCTCTCAAAGTTGATCTGCACATGACGTGTCATGATGCTATTGACATGTCAAGTTTGCTGGTGTTACCATGGCTTCTTGGACACTTTCCAGTGTCTGATGACGCCACAGACAGAGCTAGTCTCCCTTCAATTAATAGGGTGTGTTCTACTTTCAACAAGGTACCAATTGGCTACCTACTCGATCAGATTCAATTCGACATGCGACGAATGGCACTTTCTGTCGTTGGGATTCCTCCTTCTTCTGCCAATCACCCTGCTACGGCTTGGGCTTCAAAATACCTGGAATATGAAACAGCTCTGCGATATCCGTATCAGCCTCAGCTTCAAGCACGGCACCACAATCCACTGGTGAAATCGAACCAAGCTGCAGACATGGATGATGTGGTGGTGCACTTTCGCTGTGGGGACATTATGATCGGCTCTGCTGCTGGGTCCTACTATGGCTTCCAAAAGTTTCATGAGATATTACGGCACATATCTCCGGCAGCTAGGTCCATCGGCATTGCTACCCAACCTTTTGCGGACGACGAAGAGGCCATTGACAGTAGAACCAATCAAACCTTCAAAACACCCCTGGATCGTAGCATTGGAAATCGCTGCAAGCTGGTGGTGTTTGCACTTATTGATACCCTTCACGAACGGTTTCCCAAGGCTGCCGTTCGAGTACACAATGGAAAGGACGAATCCATAGTGATGGCATATACGCGAATGAGTAAGTCAGTAATCGGTTGCTTCGTTGCTTGGCTGTTGCTTTGCGGCGTCGATCCAATTTGTTCAAGTATGTAATGTCATTGCACTGCGCTATCTCGCTTCTTTCTTCTTCCTTTTATCGTCAGTCATGGCAAACCAGACTATTGCTGCTGCCATGTCAAGTTTCTCAGTCTTTCCCATTGTGTCAACCTTTGGGACGGGATACCTTCCGAGGCCACGAAGCTGGGGAAGCCCTTATTCATGGGTTGAGCAGGAACCACGCATAAAAGACATGGCGAGAGACAATGTCGTCTTGGTGAAAGCAGATGCCAGGCATACTATCTCCGGCATAGATATGCGTGCTTTATGGGATGCCAAGGGGGAAGCCTTGGCCTTGGAATGGTTCAGAAACACTTCCTTGGTTTTGAACTGCACAAAAGAAACCTGCAAAATGGATGCCAAATACCGGTAGCTACCGTAGCATGCAGGCAATCAATGATACGCACAAGCAAGAGGTAGGGCGAGGTGTCACTAGCTGGTTGTCTACTGGACGATCCAGTTTCAGCTTGCTGGACAGGCTGATTGGATTGATTTCTTCATTTCATTTCCTGCAAAATACTGGCCAGTCTGAAAATGCCATGTCTAAACGTGCTCGCTGGCTAAAACAAAGTCGCGAGAAGGCTGCCGGGATACTTGTGGAGTGGTACTGGCGACTTCCACTTGGATCGATACCGGTTACTATGCATACTACTAGCCTAGTACAGCTCCGAGTACCACACCTATTGAGTCACAGTAACACAACTACTACACTCAAGCCTTCAGAGTACTCGTAATGTAGTGCACTACTGAGTGTGTTTGGATGTTTGGATCTTACCAATTCATGCGTTTCGTGGTTGTAACTGAATGACCGCAGAATGGGATCGCTGGACGAGACGAAGAACCTCAATGTTTTTACCTTGATAATAAGATTACAATTATTTGTTTGGCCCGCAATACAAAGTTTTAACGTACGATGTACAGGTACTACCGGTAGTACCAGATACAGTCCAATACATATTAGTACCAGTACTGGTAGCGTGGGATTTTGCTGCACGAAAAGCAGGAGCTTCCTGGCAGCACCTCCTAAAAGTTTCCGTGAGGTGAAGGGGCTCAGCTTCAGATGGCACCCTAAAGAGCTCATGGCTGCCTGATCTTCAACAATCTATACGCTATCGCACTCAAGAACGTTGGTGGGTGGCTGCCAGCCAGGATCCCCAAGTATATGAACAAGCGAGAGTCCTCTACATTCTCTCTGCGGGAGTCTCGCCATACCAGTGCGATGTAGCTTAATTAATTTAAATGCCTTTTTTGCATCATGTGCGATGATCTTCCAATCTTAGATCAAGTAGCTATGACACTCTAGCTAGCTAGATATGGCGAGCTGCACATTGCATTGCTGTGCCAAAGTGCCACGCCAAGGAATCAAATCTTAAAAACAAAGGAGAAGATCCGATCTGCACGGTCGCAGGCCACAGAACCTTCGCAAAATTTGATTGCAACTTCAACGGTGACTGATCCAAACTCTCGTATGTAGAGTTTGTACTGTACTGAAACTTGGCAGTGATCGTTCCATCGAAGCAGGAATGACCTGTGATTCGTACTACGACCTACGCAGAAACTACGATTGAAGGGTGTGCCAATACTGTGGCTTTGGTGCCATTTTTGCATTGATATATTACAAAAATGAAATTCGAAAATGATCATAAATAGATACAATAATTCAATAATGGCCATTTATAGTGCCATTTTGAACTAAATATGTTTCTGAATGATTCCTAAGATGTGAACATTACAAGTTTACGGACACATTTTATTAGAGAACCTGCTGCAGCCCTCTGCATGGCTGGTTGCTTTTCTCGATGCTTCATGCTGTTTGCGCCTCTATTTTGCCCCTCGAAGTTTCCTTTACAAGCGACAGCGTGGGTGGCCATTTTGAGGCGGTGTTCTGAACGAAAACCCAAAGCAACATCACTTTGAGTCACAGCGACAGCTAGAACCAACAAACCACAACAGGCAGCTCCCGGCAGCTTGGGAGTATTTTGATTCAAACGAGGAGGGGTATCCTAGCTAGCATCATTGGTTAGGTTAAGAGAGTGAATAACAAGGAAAGAAAGACAACCGAGAAAGATGGACCAGTCAAAAGAGTCCAAACGCAGCCTGTCTCCTACTATGGCCGGTGCTAAACCAGGGACAATCGTTCGCACTGGCTCCAAGGGAGGCGGTAGCTCGACTAAGAAGAAGAAGAAAAGCAGCCGTCGGCGCAAGGACAACGAGATCTACAAGGCCACGGATACTAGTGTGAACGGTCTGAGGCAATTGAGATCTATTGTGTTTCAAAAGGACAGCAAAATTATCAAGACACCCCATGAGAAACAGAAGCTTCCTGCCGCTGACGGTCAATTTGATAATGCTCCAGAAGTGGCTGACCTCGCACAGCTTCGCCAATATCATTCCACCACGGCAGCAAACGCCATGGCACATCCTCCCTTTGGGTTCTTCTCGCTACATCCCAGTACCCTGTCGTTGCATCCACGTTCGGCGGTTCATTTATTCTACCCCACAACGCCTCTGCTAGTGAATTCCGGTCCCAATCAAAACCAGAATGGTTCCAGCAGCAACAGCAACACTACCAACAACAACAACAACAACCAAAGGTTGGGCATGGGATTGGGCCAAACTGGATTTTCGGCAGCAGCAGCAGCAGGTCTTACCCCAACGGCTGCCGCGGCAGCTGCTGCCATGTCCCCCTTTCATAATCCTCGATTGGTTCAGCAGCAGAAACTCTCGGGGTTAAGCCCAGCAACGACTCCACATGCTTTGGCTCAGCATCACCCTGGTATGCCGGGATTGTCTACCCAACAACTCCAATCTGCTGCAGCTGCTGCTGCCGCCGCCGGTGGTCAGCCTACATTTATGGAGTATGCAGCTGCCATGAAACGTCAGCAACTTCAATTGGAAAAATATAGGCAAGAAGAAGCCCACAAACTCCAGCAAGAAGTGGCATTGAAGGAGGAGCATTTGAAAGCTTTGTCTGAAAAACAACAAGCCGCCATGCGCCAACAACTGAATGCGGGGGCCTTAACTCCAGCGGCCATGATGGCGAGACAAGCACAACAGACACGAGGTCCTGGTGCTACTGCTCAGAGACAAGCAAGAGAACAAATGCAACAAAAACAGCATGCTGCTGCAGTCATGGCATCTCTCGGTCAGCAGCAACAATCCCAGCCGGCTGCGAAAACAGCACAGCAAATGTTGGCGCAACGCCAAAGAGGCGTTAGTGGTGAAGAACGATCGACCAGCCCCAAGCCAAGCGAACAACCACCCATGGGCTCCGCCATGATGGCGCTGGCTGCAGTAAGAGAAAGCACGGATCGAGCAGCTGCAGCGGCTGCTTTGTTGGGGCAGTACTCTCGCGAGGAAACCCGTAAACAGCAGCAGCAACAGCAACAACAACATAATCAGCAGGTATTGGCCGCCATGTCTGGCATGTCTGGAATGTTGAAGCAGCAGCAACAACGACCGCTTCAGCCAGGGCAGCTTTCCCCAAAGCAGAAAAGCGTCCCAGTTCCAGATCCAAGATTATCTCCAATGTCAGCAGCGGCAGCCATTACGAAGAAAGAGCTGGAACAGCACGCGAAACTCCCACCCCCGGCTCTAAATGAAACAGCTTCTCAGGGTAGCTACGAGGACGATGAGGGTCCAAGACTTTTTGTCAGGAAGCAACCAATCACGAGCGCGGATCCGAGTCCCCTCACTTCTGGCATGGAACAGTTGGAAACCCTTCCCATGAAGCCCTACACAGCGCCAGACAACGACAAGAAATATCCTGTCAAGGAATCGGAAATTACAGACTGTGATGGTAGGTGAATAGGTGAATCAGCTTGGTCTCGGTTCGTTTGTTCTCTGCTCGTCATATTATCTCAACCCCATGTTTCGTTCCCTCCCGTAGTTCTCCTTGGCAGAGGCGGTATGACGAATCATCACGTTGGCAACATGCACTTTCGTACTTTAGTATCTGAGTTTCGACTGCACTACTGCACGGCTAAGAAGGGGGACAAGGGACGTTTGTCCAAGAGATTGACCAACTTTGTAAGGCACAAGAAGGGAAGATTTCTGCAGAAAGACGACGCCGACAATATGTGGTACGAATGTGGGGACCAGCGAGCACATGGCAAGTGCGCTCAGGCTTTGCGCGAGGGAACCGCTGAACTGATGCGACATGTGACCGAGAGCGAAGGCGGCCCGGTTCCACCGGAGGATCTCCCCAATGCAATCAACCGGGTAATTGGACGAGCTCCTGTAGCCATGTCAGCGGCCTCTAGCGACAGCGATGGTCCTCCAATGCCCGCCTTACATGGGTATCAGCACGTTCCACGAGGGGGGATTATGGGAGGTGCCACGAGGATGCATCCGGGGCATCCTGTTGGTGCTCCACAAGTGTCTCCTCGTTCTGTGTTTACCAATGGCGATGGCGGCAAGCCTCAGCGTGCCCCGGAGAGATCTTCTTCACCCAAACCTAAACGGCCCCGTTCTCCAAAGCGGTCCGGACAGGCTGCGGCCAACGCACAACCAGCTAGGAAGAAGTCGCCGGTGATGCATAGCCAGGGCATCAAACCAACAATTGTTGATCAGGAATATGTGGAAGAGTCTGGCTCTAGGTCAGCGACGGATGCTAACAGACGTCGTTCTGAGGTGAGCGAGGGCCAATCCGATGATGGTTCTGACGAAGAGCTACTTGGCAGCCGGAAGAGAGCAAAGATTGAAGAAGATGAAGAGGAAGAACAAGACTATGAGTATATGTAGGCGGGCTGATTTTGGGTAAATATAGTTTTCCAGCTCAAAAACATGCTATCATAGCACCTACCGGTACGATGCCATATCTTCCTCCCGGCAGGCTAATTCAAAAAGTGTACGGATTGTCTCCATTTGCAAAGACCCACATGACTTCTCTAGCTAATTTCCAGAAGTATATGAATTCATCTCCTAGGCAATTTTTTCTGTCAGGCCACCGCCAATGCCCACATTTGCCAGCAAAGAATCCGGATGAGCATCCCTTTGGCAGCTATTTCTGTGCATCAGCGGATAGACTATTTTAGTAGAGCCGAGTCGAGTCCACATGGGTTCTCCCGTCCACACTAGCGAAGGATGATACAACAACCGGGTTCCCTCGGGAGTTGACCTGCGCCAGGCCGCACTTCCCATAAATCTTGGAGTCTGAGCACATAAGTCGCGGGGAGCCCTTGCAACATTGACCACGGGAGTCGACTTTTGAGGAAGAAAGGAAACGGCAAGCATCCATGGCTGCAGCAACACAACATCTAGTTCCATTTTTTCATCGAGCCATGAGACCACACCCATCTTAGGCCTACCGTGTGATAACGATGCTTCCTTACGAAATGGCGAAGAACGACAAACAAAAGGGGCCCCAACAGCGAAGCTCAGCGCTCCCGAACGCAGCGGTACCGGCCAGCTTTCAGTCGATGCCAAATGGCGAGAACAATATTGCTACAAAGGCGGCTACTTATCCTTTGTTAAATGAAAACACCAATGCAGCCTTACCTTCATATCCGCCACTTATCCAGTATCAACCTGCTCCTGAGTACTTGCAGGTACCACAATGGATTCCCGCAGCATCTATGTACAATCCAGCGATTCAAGGGTTTCCTTCTTCGCATGGAATCCAACCTCATGACGCACCACCACAATTTTCTGGCTACGCGGTAGCGATGCTGCCCCCGATGTTGCCCCCCAAGGAAATGGGCGTAGCTGGAGTTCTGAATACAGCTCCAGGGGCCGAATCGTGGAGTGCCATGAATGCTAGTCTTCAGCCATCGCCGCAGAATAAGTTACCTTCGATTTCGTATCACCGGTCACCTCTCACTCCAAAAGGGACGAGCCTTCTTGGTCTTAGCCATCCACAACTGTACAACCCAAATTTCCTTGCAACTCCCCCAGTTCAGCCACCTGAAATTGCCATGTTGAGACAGCAACAACTCCCGCAGGGGTTGTCCTGGGTGGGAGGCACAAATGGAAGTCCTCCTTTTTCTCCTTCACTGGACAAGACCAAGTTTTCTCTACAGCAGCAACACAATGCGGCTGGGACTGGGACCAACCTTGCTCCAGGTCCGATCAGTTGGGATGTCCCTCCCCAGAATCGACCGACAGAGCTTGCGTCCGTTCTAACCCATGCTGCGGACTCATGGTAAGTGCCAGCCTTCGGTTTCTTTGAGGGGGCTTTGTCAACCTAAAACACTCTCTGGCCTGCATTCTTTGCATCCGTATCAGGATGCACAAGCTTGATCAGTTGCACCCATCCCAAGCTCTCGAGACAATTCAGGATGGGAGTGCCTCCAAACTTTGTGAAGTGAAACCAGATACCAAAACCAAGTGCTTCCCCATTTCGGAGGACGACGTAAATCGCCACGACGTGCTTTCTGGTCGTGGATCGAAATTCAATGCTCACGAGGTGAGAAATGTGGCCTAGCGTTGCTTCAACACATGTGGTGCTGTAGCTCCTCATCTCCTCTTGGCTCTACTGCAATACCAGGGCAACATGACGTTTCGTGCACTGGTCTCCAAATACAAGAAGGCGTATCAGTGCGCGCAACGATCCGCGAAGCGTAAGCTCGTAGGCAAGCTTGTCCACTTTGTCCGAGAAGGCCGGGGTCGGTTCCTTCAGCAAGACAAGAGTGACGGGATGTGGTACGAGATTGGCGATGACAAAGCTTACTCCAAGTTAGCCCAGCTCCTTCGGGAAGGCTCGTCTGCTGCTTCCCTATGCCGCGAGCTTGCGTCAGGAGCGAACGGCAACCAGTTTGAGCAGACATTGAAGAATACCAACAATTGTTCCACTACGTCTGCCAAAACAACAGGAGACAACAAGCTGATTTGATTGATTAGAATCAAATGAATGGTAGCCTATTCTATCATAGAGGATCTGGTCTGTTCCCATAGAGGCAAAGTTTCACGTGTATGCTACTCTAAAAAGAGAAGATTTATTAGTTCGAGACACTTTTGAGTGTAACGTAGCTCTGGAGCAGGGGCATGCTTTGGTCGGGAAAAGGGGCAGGTTTAAGTCCAGATTTGACAGGAGTTGGTCTGTGCGTTGGTCTTGATGGTCCATTGTTGGTGGGCCAGGCATACCGGTAGGCACGGTACCAGGTACAGGTACTCCACTTTCAACGTTGATCTGTTGCCTGAAGGTGACAAGTAAACGGGTCTGATTGAATCGCATCGAAGCGAGCGATCTACCTTTCCTTGCTGAACTGCACCCCAGAGAAGACTAGAAATGCACTTGTGTGTTGATCAGTGGTTTATTGTTCGGTAGGATCAGGTGCAGCACAGGAGCGAGCGCAGTCACACTCCTGATGTTGCTTTCTTTGTCAGCCCTGTTTCTCTTGGAATATACTTCACCCACCTGGCATTGTCACTGCACCTGTGAAGTTGTGTACTGCCTCTCTCTCTGCTCTTCATCGCTTGACCTCTTGTATCTTGATCTTTGCCTCCTCCACCAAAGCTTTTCTTCCAATCTTCAGAATGGACTCGCGCCAGCTACAAGACTTGAAGACTCGGCATGTTCTTCTGTTCTCTCTCACCAATTTGGATAGATCTGGATTGTCGGTTGCTTCCTGTCGTACTCAATCGCCGAGGCCTCCACGTAGCGTCTCGTGCCTCGATGCTCCATGGTCAACATCAACTTCTTAACAAGCTGTGTGGTTGTGCATACTGTTGACTGGCCGCGTTGCCCCATGCTACAGTTCCAGACCAATATCGAAATCAGGTTCTTCCGCAATGATGGCTGCTGCTTTCATTGGGGGGCTCGGTTCTACGACGGATGTTGGCTCTTCTTGTTTCGTGGTGCTATCGTTTCGTTGTTGTTGTTGCTCTTTGAGGGCACACTTGAGAAATTGAATTTCTTGCGGTGCCAGCGTCTCCTTTTGGAGGACATCTGCCACGTACACATCTCGTCGTACGGCTCGTACCGACATGCGTTGTGCGACACTGGGATGAGTGGTGCCTCGAATGAGGGTGGCCAATTCCGGTGGCAATTGATGCCATTTGCGATATTGAATTCTGCGTGTACTGCTTGTACTGGAATTATCCGCATTGCCACAAACATGCTTGGCGACAAATTGACAGAGCAAGATCAATGGATGGTTTTGTTGATTGATATACTCGGTAATATTTTCATTGGGCGGCACTCCCGTCATGCTGTACTTGATGGTGTTGCCTAGAGAGAAGGCATCGGCCAACATTCCGTAATTGGACACGTGTTGTCCGAGCGTCTTGGTAATGTCAAAGCCCAGATCACTACCGGCTTTGCTGTGTCCACTAAGATTGAGTCCGACGATACTGTGACGACTGTGAACACCGTTGACAATTTCGGGAGCGGCGTACATGCGATTGCCCAAGGAACTCATGGTACGTTTAAAGGCATGCGAAATGGACTTGTCCAGGTCACGTCGTTGCACTCTCTTGCCGTTGCTGCTGCTGCGACGACTGCTGCTGCTGCCATCTATGGTACCATCCGTCTCCACCAATTGTTGGTCGTTTGGAGATTTCATGGTGACGGCTTCCTTTTCCAAATCGCCGGGGCTGAGAGCACGGGCAAATCCGAAATCAATCAATGTCAAGTGCCATTTTTGACCCAGTGTTTGCCAATCTTCTATCGCCTGGGCCGGTGCTGCTGTGTGATCCCAAATTTCATCTTGTTGCAACGTGGCTCCAGTGATGATCGCGTTATCTGGCTTGACGTCTCTGTGAACGACGGCACGAGAATGACAATAAGCCAAGGCATCGACTAGTTGGGCCATGACGACACGTCCAAAGGTGTGACTCGCCAGAGCACCCCCATGATCAATCAATTGTTGCAGTGTAGGACCACGACTGTACGACAAGGCCATGACGGCAGCGCATTGACTGTGAGGCGTTTCCCAAAACCCCATTACTTTCATGATGTGAGGATGCTGGAGTTCTTTTAAAATCTCGATTTCACGATGGGCATAGGCATGTTCTTGCTTGGTGGCGTCTGGAGATCCCACTACTTTCATCGCCACCAAGTCATTGTGGTCCGTTTTGCGACGAGCCAACAGGACCGATGCAAAGCCACCTTTGCCCAATTGACCCAAAGGTTCATAGGCTTCTGCCACGGCGGGTGGCCATTGTGGTGGGACAGCGGTTGTCATGGGGTGGACTGTTTGACAAGCAGACTAACTGAAAGAAAACGTATCTTACTCGAAATAATGATGCGGGCATGAAAAGAAGCAACCTTGACATGACACTCGCACTCCACGGTGGTGTCAATAATAAGTGCGTGGACCCCCCCTTTCTTGCCATATGGTATGGTTGGAAGATGTTAGCACAAAGGTACATGCGGTAAAATGCCTTGAGTGAGTAACCAATAATTACCTCAACTATTATTCTAAAACCAACCGATGATATTTCATCAGGTAGTTGCGGTAACAAACAATTTTTCAGCAGAGTTTTCACGCCAAAAGGAAACCTTAGCCTTATATTTACCTTAGCTACCCTACGGTGTGAAGAGTTCGAGTGCACGAGAAGAGATCGCAAGTGCGCCTCGGTACGTACCGGGTACGACTGTACGTAGGTATTGATGAGACAACTGACACCACACAAACCGAAACCCGAGGCAAAGAAGAAGTTGTGGTTGTGGTTGGTGCTGTTGCTGTTTGTGGGGATCCTCTCTTGCCACCTTGAGTGTTGCTAAACTGCACGTCTCACTGAGTTGGATCCAAGACTTGAGAGATTTGAGGGTTGCTCGTGGAGATCAATCCAGCGGCATCCAATCTTCAATCCACGCGTCTCTCTGTTTTTCTATTTGTTTGAGAGCAAGCAGTAGACTACTGTACGGAATCGAATCCAATTAATTGATCCATGGAGACTAGCTAGAGCGTGGCGTTTGCAAAGCTACTAGTAGTATGAATGAATCGGCAAGTGTGGAGGATGAGGAAAAAACAACAAAGGATGAATCCAGCAGCGCTGTCAAGCAGATTGCAAAGAACAGCTTGAACAGCAGCAACAAGAGCAATGGCAGCAAACGGATACGGAAAATTCCGATTGTGACAACGCCCACAAGAGGGTTCAGTGGCGCTTCGAGCAGTGACGATGACGATCTGGACGATGATGATGATGATGATGATGACGACGAAGGAATGGAACGGAAAGGTTCCAGTGGCCAGATGAAAATTCCCTCCTTCCACAACTCTCGTGGAGCTCCTGTTTCTAGTGCCAACAATGAGGCGCCCTCAAGCCCGCAACCATCAAACTCGACTGGTAACAACAACAATCCTGGAAACACTGCAGTCCAACCGGACCAAGAACGACAAATCCTCTTGCTCATGTTGCTCGCGCAAGTCTGTGCCCTTCATGATCCTACGCCGCGAACATTTACTGTGCATGTGTTGGAATTGTTTGAACGAGGCATTCTGGGACGTCAATCCATTCATTTCTTGTTTGAACTGGGCTTAGTGCCACCCAACACTCCTCGCATGTTGACGGCTCATCCTCACAACAACAGCAACAACAACAACGCTGATCATTCTCATACATGTAATTCGAAACAACAAGCATCTTCGGATCCAGTACTACAATTGGCTACTCTGTCAGCTCCGTTGTCACCTCAAAAAATGCGATCACACGAAGCATCCGTAATTCGGAGTCATTTGGAAGAACACGATTTGGCACAACAGCAACTGAACAAATCGTCGCCACTGTCGTCGTCAAGGGCAAACACCAACAATGCCAACAACACCAGTCTGGTGGAGTCTCCTCCCATCCATAGCACCAAGAGTGCCTCGTCGTGGGCAGTTGAACACCATCCACTGTCACTCTCACGATATCAGAGAGAGTTTATTCAAGTGCGATTGCTCAACTCGGGTTCCTTTGGAGAGGTATTTCATGCAACCAGTAAGGTGGATTTGAAAGATTATGCTGTCAAACGAGTGGCATTCCAGGCATTTGGCTATTCAAGAGATTCCCTTACACAGGTCATTCGGGAAGTGCAGTGCTTGGCACAGTGCGATCATCCAAATGTGGTCCGGTATTACACGAGTTGGCTAGAACCGTCTTGGATGACCGGCAGTGGAGCTGCCATCACCACACCCACGCATGGGAATGAAGTTCGAAGACAACAAAAGCTACTCACCGATATACAACACATGATGATAGCAGGAGCACGTTCGGAAGAACAATCAGCTACATCCACTTCCAACCACTCGGAAAGTAATCACAACAATCATCTTCAGGATTTCTTTCAGGGGCGTGCGAACGCCAACATTATGCGAGACAGAAAATTTTCTATTGGAAGCAGCCTCGATTCCTTGGACAGTGCTGCTGGATCAAGCAGCTATGACGAAACCAGTGGTAGCGACGAAGAGGAAGAAACCACTTGGACTATAGAACAGCAACAAGACTGTCATTTGGCTTTTGAGGACGACGATGACAGCTCTTTCTTCTTTGCATCATCCCTTGGCGCCGCAAAGGATACATCGTCAAAGTTTGCTTCACCACCCCATCATCGGTTTAACAACAACAACAACAAGGCAACACAGAATACCGCTAAAAAGACGGCAGCTCGATTGAAGTACCGCTACCAGATATGCCTCTTCATTCAAATGCAACTGTGCCAACCAGCCACTCTGGGAGACTGGATTCGTCATCGCAATTCCTTGGTTGCAGATCCAAACGCAAATCGTCGAGAACGAGTACAAACCGCTGTTTCCATCTTTGGGCAGATTGTGAGTGGGCTACAGCACATTCACAAAAAGGGCATTGTGCACCGTGATTTAAAGCCCTTCAATCTCTTTCGATCACTCGAAGAAGAGGGGGTCTTTCTGATTGGGGATTTCGGCTTGAGCAAGCTTATTCACTCGGCGACGCATCAATCATCTTGCGGCAAGAAGAAGAAACAGCAGCAACATCACCATCCCGAAGATTTTTCGCTTCAGACTGGTGATTGCAATGCGCTAGTTGTGCGTGCTCCAACTGAATTGACAGCTGGTGTTGGCACCGCCTCTTATGCGGCTCCAGAGCAGGTCACCACAAGCACCTATGGGAAACTAGCAGATGTATTTTCCCTTGGCCTTATTCTGCTGGAACTGTTGTGCTGCTTCACAACAGAGCATGAGCGAATGCAGACCTTCTATGACTGCCGTCATCGACGCGACATTCCATCGTGGATCACAAATGAATACCCTGTGGCAGCTCAAACCATACTGAGATGCACAGAGCCAAACCCGACAAACAGACCCACTGCAGGCGATTTGATCCGGGTCGATCTCTTGTCTATGATAGAGACTTCAGATGCCAAAATACCAAGGGAGTTGCCGCCACAGAAAGTCCCAAATGACGAGTTGCTCAAGCTGAATCGAGAACTAGAAGAAAAGGATGATCTTATTCGTGATTATGAGAAGAAACTGAAGGAAAAAGATCTTCTGATTGAGCGACTCCAAGCACAGCTGGCCGCAGCTCAAGCGAACCATTCGGCTGACGAAGTTCCGCAAATCCAAAGGGTACCCTTGCCAGTTGAATTGTTGGTGGGTGAGGGTCACGGTGGCAAGGGCCCTTTGGAGGTTGAATCATCCAGCAGCAGCGGCGAAGAATAGGTACTATCGTACCGGGGAATAACTTAATCACGCTAATGAATAGATAGATATACACGCGCACTAGTGCTGGAAGCTTCTACAGATCTTACGTTGGCAATGTCGTGTGCTTGTGGCTTCTTGATGCGGATACCTCTACTGTACCTAGCTGGTTGACGATCAATCCAACCACTGGTCATTCACCTCGGACGGAACAAAGACATGAATTTTGTTTCCCTGGGCATATTCCACCAATTCATCGTTGAGTTTCACCTGACAACCCAATCGAGATGTGCTTTGTGGTTCAAAGGCAAGCCCCAACATGTCTTGTTCAGCTTCGGTGGGTGGTGGCAGAAATGCAAAGGTGACTTCATCCAAGTACACCTGGCACGTCGAGCAAGCCATTTGCCCCCCACAACTCCCTTGAACTCTTCCTTGCATATCTTCTTTGAGACTCAGTTCAATATCTGTTCGATTTTTGTCCACCAGATCCAGCAACGATTCACCGTACTTCCAAGAATACGTCTTTTGGTGCTCCGCTATCTGGAGGATTACGTCCACCCGTCGCGATCTCCGCTTCTTTTGTTCTTTGCGTCTTTGCTTCTGTATTGACTTTGCCAGCAGCACGACAGCTTCATCACCTCCCAGAGCTTCTGACAGCGATGCTACAGTCAAGTTATCGCTCCCCGTTTGTTTCTTGGCCTCTCCCAGCACTTCGTCATGGAAACTGGGGTGGATTTGGAGCGCCTTGAAATACTCCTCAAAAGATCGATTATCTTCGGTCGAGGAAAACCATCTTTGACGAGTAGTGTTAGATCTACACCGACCATACACAGCTGCTACTGGTAATGGCCTGCCGCGAGCAACAAGGAAGCCACCGGTGCGGCAAAGAGCTGCTGCTGTGAACATCGTCGTCGTCATTGGCTTGCGAGAGCGGGTTAGTTCAATTTTAATTATTGAGGGCACACATGAACAACCAAGACCGGTACCGGTAGCCAGCAGAGCCAACAGTGGATAGATCAGCTGAACGCACACTGGTTCTTAAAATGGGAGAAAGCTACTCTCTCGTTTATTTACCAATGTCGTTCCAATGAAGGCCTGCCGGGCCGTCCCAGAGCCGATAATGTCTAAATAAGAAGCAACGGCCAATTGCTCGCGTGAAGGGGAAACCAACCCATGGGATGACGGGCGAACGACTGAAAAACAAGAGCAAAGACGAAGTTTCCGAAAGAAACAATTCGCCAGGACCATTTTCATTCATCCAAGTCATCCACAAGCAATAAACGCATCAACCATGGCAGCCAACTACCCCGCAGATCAACAACCTGCCAATGGTGGACAGCCCCGTCCCCTGCAAATGGGAGCGAAAGGAGCATACATCGTTCGTCTGCTGATGGTCGGAGACAGCTCCTGTGGAAAGACGTCTTTGGTTCTCCGATATGATCAGAATGTGTTCTCGACGAAATTTGTGACCACAATTGGGGTCGACTACAGAGACAAGATGGTCAAGGTGTGTTTGTAGAAACTTTACTGCATGGCAGAATCAAAATTATTTCTTGGCTAACCTTGATACTCTTATTATATATATTTGTCGTCACAGATTGAAGGAGCTCCAATGAGACTTCAGCTGTGGGATACTGCCGGACAAGAGCGATTCCGATCTTTGACATCAAATTTCTTTGGTCGGGCAGATGGTTTTGTTCTTACATACGATATCTCCAATAGACCTTCCTTTGATCACGTGATTGGGTGGATGCGAGACATCAAGACTCGAGCTCCTCCGGATTGCGATATTGTTTTATGCGGCAATAAAAGTGATTTGGACAATGATCGAGTGGTCACATTTGATGAAGGAAAGCAACTAGCCGATGACTACGGCGTACAGTTCTTCGAAACATCGGCGTTGACTGGGCACAATGTGGAGAAAATGTTCACAGCTCTAGCGACAACAATCAAGCACAAGCGCATCGATGATGCCGGACTAAATGAAGCGACAATCAACGGCGCACCCAGTGCGGATGCCGGGTCAGTTGCTGGCGGACCAAAACCTGTTGTATTGGGAGCACCATCGCCACAGGAAAATGGTGGACCAAAGGGTGTCGCATCAAGCTGCTGCTAGATGCTACCGGTACGCCTTGCTGGGAATGGAATTTCTCAGCCCAATGAGGTCGCCAGGCTTGTTTCCTTTCGGATTGCTTCCTATATTACTACTTTCTTCATTGCCATGTCATGTCATTGCATTCTTTTCACACCCAGTATCCCCCCTTGCAAGTTAGAGTTGCTGGCTCTCATCCTTTGTTTTGGTCGTTGTGGTCATGTCATCAGTAAATTATAATCAAAAACTAAGGATGCGTTGCTACGTACCGGTACCCGTACACCAGGGCAGAGTTGTCTCACCAATAATTGTTCACAAAAAAATCAACTGTCGAATGCAGAGTATTACAACGCAAACTCTGCATTCCTTGTTTACCTTGCGTTGAGGTGATGACGCCATGAGAAGCACCCAGCCTTTCTAAAATGGTCTTCGAGGATACTGTGCAAAAACAGCAGATCTGCATAGAAGGCTATAGCAGCCGTTGCATTAATTAACTTGGATTGGGAAGCCAAGATAATCTCTCCTGATTCTTTGCCGTTTTCTTCTCTCGCTTGTCAAATCAAGGAACTGCAGCTGCCTCATACATGTATCATAGCGGTTGCTGCGCGGTGAAACTTGTAGATGCCTTCTCCCCAGCCATACCGGTACCGTAGCGTCTCCTGGAGGATACCTAAATTCTGTGCTTGAACGTCAGATGTCTCCTTCTTAACGCTCTCATCTGGTTGACCATTAGAATAATACAGTGGCATGTCGGGGTCAGATTTCGACACTCGTCCTCGTCATACGATTTTTGCCTCGTCCCCGCTCTTGCTTTGCTGGCTCAGAGATTATCCAGGCAGCCAACCCACGGACGCTTCCAGAGTACCAGGTTCCGGTACTCCCACAGCTTCATCCATCTTTTCCTGTCCGCTTCTTTTCACAAACCTGATACATCTCGCACAAACTTATTGAAGGTGCGAAACCAACACTACAATTGTTTCTGGCCAGGTCATTGCAGATGAAACATGCTGAGGAAGATGATCTACAAACACCACAGTAGCAACAGGGCCAATTCGGATAGCTTCATTTCATTAGAATTGTTACACTTTCCGAAGGTATGAGTTACAAAACTCTCTAGCATCTAACTACACAATGTTGTATCCCTTGTCTGCATGCAGCGCCTGCACATCGAGGACAGAAGGCATTTAGAAAGAGAAGGGAGCCATGGGCTCACCATCGTAGTGGGAGACAAGTCCCTTGAGAAGAGGCACGGATCCTTCAACCTTTTGTTCCGAGAGGAATCCAATGATACCGATTTGTGCCAATCGTCCGTTGTTCAATTCGGAGATCAGTCCCTTCTCCTTCTTCTCAGCACTGGCGTTGGTGGACAAGCCAAAGGGGTCGAAAAGGTTCAAGGGCATTGGGTGGGGAATGATATCTCCTTCGGCGAAAGTGGGGAACTTTCCTGCTTGTCCTCCACGCATGTAGTGTGTTCCGACGGACTCGGAGTAGAATTCCAAGAAACCAATGAAGAGGACGATTTGCCACTTGGCGGCCTCTGGCATGGCATCCCACTGTTCAGGTGGGGAAAGACCATCGAAGGAGACATCGCCTCCAACAGATGGCCATGGGAACCTGATTCCGTTGGACTGGACACAGTATCCAACGAAGGCAGCCATAGCAACACGTCCGTGCTTGATTTCGGAGTGACGCAAGAAGCCGATGGTGGCATCGTTGGTGTTACCCCAGATGGAGGTGGTGGCCAACTCAAGAGGATCGTAGTACTAAAGGGGAAACACAAAAAGATGTGAGATTCTACCAACAGCAGGAAAATTTCAAAAGTCGTCTTTCCTCAAAACTTCTTACCTTCAAGACAGGGTTGGACTTCTCGGCGATGCTCTTCAAGTCATCCATGGCACCGTTCAAGGAAGTGCTGCGAGCAGCATCTTGGGCGGGCACAAAGGCGGCAGCAGAGGCGATAAGAGAGGCGAGGATAGCAGACTTCATCTTGATAATTTAGTTGGATTTTTGACAGAGAGATTGTGAGTAGGTCCTTTGTTGCACTCGTGGTACGTTCCAAAGACGCGGCCACGCTGCTATTGAAGGACAATCGATCTCGCAGCAGAACAGAGAAGGTAATGCAACAAATGAAAGCCTGGCTTCGTGCGATCTTTGAACGTCAACTTGGAAAACAGGAGTCCCGCAGGTTTCGACCAATCGTGCTGACGACGGCTTCGTGGCTCAAATGTGTTGGAAACAGGCAACAAATTCGATTTCGGAAAAACGGAAAAAAGAACTCCCCCCACCACTCTGCCACTCATCTCTTGATGGCTTCCATGCACTCTCATCTGATGATTCGATGATACCGATACCCATCCTCACCATAGTCCCCTCTAACCCATACAGTAGGAACTTCCTCCATTATCATCAGATGATACCGGTTATAGAAAGTTTTCTTGATGGGAGATAGAAAACAATGACAGAGGAATCCCAAAGAGAAGAATCGAAAGAAACCGAGGATCAAGAGGATCAAGAGGACCCAGAAGAAGTTCTTTATCCGGAAGACGGACATGTCGTTTCAAACTCTGGACGAGAGCATCAAAGTGCTCGTGTTCGTCAGCATGCTCAGAAGTGGCCCAGTTTATATGAAGAATGCAGAACCATGGTGTCGGCGTCCATCCTCATCTATGGTTTTTCAGAACTACGCAGGAGGATACGGTTGGGACAAATCACAGATCCATCCATCACAGAACCGTTCATGAACTTGCCAAGCTCATCTGTAGACCTTGTCCCAGTTGCCTATCAGAACAAGGCATTCTTCGATGAACTTCTGGGATCAGAGGGCGATGGCTTTTATCTCGATCAGATTCTCAAAGAGAGAGAGGCAGAGATTCATGTTTCCAAATAAGTGAGCAGTTATTGATTATTTTCTAGAATAAGCCTGCTAATGATAAAGCTGTAAAGCTGAATTGTAAGCTGTATCCTGTCGCAGATCGTCCTCAATCAGTAAGTTCGCTGCGTATAGCCCAGATTCGATGCGTTTGCCTTCTCCCGTGTGCCAACAAATGTCACCAAATTCAGTGCTCGTCAGTGGATTGAAGTTATCTTTCGGGGATCTGCTGTTTTCAGAGATTTTCTAGCAGATGTTGATCCTACCATGGGATCCTTCCCCAATCCAGTAAGGGGCCTTGATGGCCATTCACAAGAGAAGAACATTGGGGTGCACATGGGTTTTGCTTGTAAGTGATGAGATACGTTGTGAAGATTCTGGGGAGAATGGCTCGTGCTATGGCTGGCTCACTATACTATGCGATGGCCCGTTCTAGTCTACATGAATCAAACACCCTTGAGATTAGGGGTGGGAAAGACAAAAGAAATCAAGGAGAGGTTGCTCGCCTTGCATGAAGAATATCCGGACTACAGGATCTACTGCACTGGGCACAGCCTTGGTGGAGCGCTTGTAAGTATATATATCCAAAACTGGATGCGGCTGTGAATTCTCGAGCTCTTTCCAATGCTGATAATTGATCACTATGACATGCTCGTTCCCACCAGGCAACTCTCTTGGCGTTCGAGCTGGCCACTTCCGACGACTTCCCCAAGCCCGTAACGTGTGTTTCTGTAGCATCTCCCAAGGTAGGAAACATTAGCTTTTTGCATGCGGTTCAAGCACTGGAGAAAATGGGCGACTTGAGATGCATCAGGGTGGCCAACAAACTAGACCTCATACCCAGCATGCCGCCAAAGGCATGCCCTTGTGTGGATCTGTGCTGTTGCTGCTTTTCATGGATTGGTCAAAAACGACGATTCTGGCATGTTGGCGCAAAAGTGACTCTGTACAAGGACGGCAAGTGTGATGTTTCCTATACAAGGAGGCGAATGACATACTTTGAACAACTCAAAAATGAGTTATCTAGAAGAGGGAGGATCCAGAAAACGTGGGCAGCCATGTGGCGTGCTGGGGCTTGTTGTAAAGGAGACGGTGATTTTCTGAGGAACCACAGTTGCCAGGAATATCTCGAGAGACTTTCTGCATCGCAGACGAAACTCGAGTCTCGGTATTTGCAGGAATTGTACAGACGACAACATCGGCAGTCACTGAACTCCAGGAAAGGTCCTCCACCCCCTGCTCACCTCCTTCTTGAGGGGACGGCCCCTCAACTCCTAATAGAGAACGGTTGAAGAAGGAAGAGAGGGAAGATTGAATAGTTTAGAGAGTAGAATCAGTGTTTGCTTGGTTTGACCTCTCTGAGCGTACCGGTATAGCTAGCTATTGCTACGCATAGCGGGAAAAGTTTGAGCCCCCACAGGGCTAGGACTAGGTAGCAGTGCTGATGCGATCATTCCAAAGGCGTAATTGCACCTCAAATTGGTGGATATCTACTTCGTACCTGAACCGGCAATGCTTCCGGTACGCTACCGTGGACACCTCGAGGGCTGTCACTCTGCTTCTCTTCATCATGCTTGTGCGCTTGATGTGCGGCTTCCCCCCGGAAGCTGGCCTACTAAGTGGGGTTTACGCAGGCATAGGGGATAGGGGCGGTAAAACTAATTTTCAATACTGTAAAATTCTGGGAGTTTTGTGTACTGCACCTACTATGTAGGTCCAGGTAAGTAGTATTTTGTCGGAGGAAAGCCAATTGAGAGATTCATGAATGAAATCCCTCAAAGTGAGATTTAGCTTGAGGCGCGAGTGTTAGGGTCCAATTCATGAAAACAATAAAATGGCCAAACTTTTAAGAAAAGAAATTCCAAAAACAAAAGCTGCCTCCTATTTACTCAGAAAGACTCGAGTGTCAGTCTTTTGGTTCTTGTTGTGTTGTTGTTGGTGCAGCTGTAGATGAGTACAAGATGGCAGCCCTATCAACGGCACGAGCCTCGAACAGAACCATCCTGTGGACGGGGGCAGCTTTGCTCTCCGTCGCAACAGCGGTTGTAGTTCTGAAACGAATACGAAGGAGACGGAAGACCGACGCTCCTCCCAAAGAGCGAAACGATGACACTGTAGATCCACAACTAGCTATCTTGTTTGAGGCAGCAACGCAAGAGAGCAGACAGTTGAGGAACATTTCCAACACGGAAAAACTCATTCTCTACAGTCTTTATAAGCAAAGCAAAGAAGGAAATGCCCCTGACAAGTCGCCAGGATGTGCATTCAATATCGTGGAAAAAGCAAAGCATAGCGCCTGGTGTCGCGCCAGGGGCATGAACAAGAACGTCGCCATGCTGCATTACATCGAGGCTGTACAGCAACTGCAAACCAACGGCAGTATGGACCATGGAGGAGGTGTTGACGGTGATTTGAATGATATTGAAGGTATAGATCTTCTTGATGATTTCCCCATTGATGGAGGCGGCCTGGGCAACAAACCGAGCTCCCTAGCAACCAACGCAGAGGATAGTGGGGATGGCTACAATGGGCAAGAGCTAACCTTGGCACAAACGGTACTGAGAGCAGCTAGTCAGAATGATGCCAAGGAGTTACAATCTTTGCTGAAACAATACCCAGAATTGGTCAACCACAGAGACGAAGACGGACAGTCGGCTCTGCATCTGGCGGCAGATAAGGGGGCTTCGGAAGCTTTGAAAGCGTTGATGGATGCTGGGGCAGATGTAAACGCTGCTGACGGAGACGGAATCACTGTTTTGCATGCCGCTGTGATTGCAGAGAACATAGAAGCTTGCAAGTTGCTCCTGGATCATGGCGCAAACGCCGAAAAAGCAGATGTGGATGGAGACACTCCACGAAAGTGCGCAGAGGAGGATGGTTCGAACGAAATGAAAGAGTTGTTTGCTTCGTGTATTCAAAAGACATGACGATTCGATGCAGAACTGGGTGAGTCTACGAAAGAACTCCCAAAGTAGTATTCCGGTACTGCTAACACAGAAGGGTCAGTAGCACTCAAGTTTTATTGTTGACGAATTGGTTTGCAATCAAACGATGCATTGGCACATCTCTGGCTAACCAGCAGAAGTCCGGGTTCTTCCGTGGGTCCAACCAACTGCAAGGTTATTTGCTGCTCTATATAGACGGAATGTACGAACAGCGAGGCTATTGTACCGGTCGACGCCTCATGATCGCTGTTCGCACAACTGACAATGCATGGGCTACTAGAAGTTTCAGCGACAAGGTTCTTTGCTTACAAATAAATAGTTTCACGTTAGAGTCCTCCTTGGTTCAACAATCGACTTGATTCGAGCCTCCCGGCCCCCCTGCTAGTAAATGACCTCAACCAGCAGAGTGGCGAAACCAAACGCTCCACTGCGTGTATTGTGATTGTCATACAGCAGGATAGATCGATAACCCTTGCGCAAACAGGAAAAGGGAATCGCAGTATGAGCCACTTTATCATCAAAGTCAACATCCTTCTCAAACACATCAAAGCAGATCATGGCACAGTCGGGGTTGGAAATATAAAATTGGAACGTCCTTTGAAAGACCGGAGAGAACCCGTTATTATTCACAAAGTCGGTACTTTGCGTATCCACGGACGGTTCGTAGTCGCCACCATTGTTTCCCTCCTTAATGTCGTGGAGAGAAACCTGCACGTAGGGATCAATGATTTCACCGGTCGTAGAGCCGCCTGGTTTGGGAAGACAACTGCCGCTAATCACACGCAGAGTCAAGTGAATCGGGGAGGGAAGGCTGCCAGGACATGCTCCCATTACACTCTGTGGCTTCGGCAAATATCCACAGCCACCTGCTTGACGGAATCTACCATCATTCAGAATCAAAGGAGTGTCCGTTGTCTGAAAGTTCAAGGCCACCAACTGAGATCCTACAGACCACGCCAGCATGGGGTTGTAATTCGAAGAATCGACACGAAGTCCAGCTGGATAGGTCCTGGTCATGTGTCTCTGGTTGTACGTGCGCCATTGGAGTGCCTTGCTGTATTCCTTGTTGATTAGTTTAGGAATCTTGCTCTCTCCAATGCTGTGCATGTGACTGGGCGGCAAGTCAATAGATTTCTCAAACGACTTGAATCCGGTTCCATGAAAGAGAGTGAGCTTTGCAAGCTCGGGAACAACTTTGGGTGGAGGGGCCTTTTTGTCGCCCGCACCTTTCGTGTCCACGCCACCAGGATCCGCAGCGCCCTCGGCGTACGGATCGAAATCCGATTCATGCTCTGCTGCTGTGTCGTCCTGCTCGGGAGGCCGTTTGCCCTTGATGACAATCATTCCTCTCAAGGTCTCGGGCGAAGGCAAATCATCCATGGTGGCCTTTCCGGGAGGCGGAACGTACAATTTCTTTCCAAAAATGTCACTCATGTTCTTCGCCATTGCTGCTTGAAAAGGATGAGAGCAGTGGTTCTCCAACGATAAGATGATGGGATATGTATCAGGGTGGTCATCAAGAAACGTCTTGACGCCGTGAAGGATCTCCACAAAGGCAATCTTGGATGTTACCGTGTGTCCGTGAAAGACAACGGGGATGACCTCTCCGTTGGTGTCGTCGGGTGCGTCACCATCCCAGCAATCCAACTCGAGGCATCTGCATCCTCGCCTCAAAGACCTCATGTACATTTCGACCGAGGAGGACGATGCCAGCTGATCACCGGTAAGGTAGGTGTTGTGGCCGGTGTTGATCCAGTAGTGCGACAGAGGCTTGTCGAGTCTTCCCTTGTGCTTTTCCTGTGCCTTTGGATTATACGCCTGGTTCAATTCCGACCTCAAAAAGAGCTCAAATCGAAATCGACTCATGCAGTCATCTGGGTAATCATCTTCTTCCCTGTTGACTTCGACTTCGTTGATCGTTGCGAACATTTTCACCACGTCGTTGAGGGTCGCTCCTTTTTCGTCTTGCTTGGTCATCAAGAACTTGCTAAGGAAGTCTTGGGCGGTAATGAATTTTTTGTCGCTTCCAAAGTGTTTGTTCCAAATGTCATCGGCAATGGCCTCACTGGCTGAAACATCTCCAGACGAGTGTTCGGCCTTGATTTTCTGGAGGAGTAACATACACTCGTGGTATTTGAGGGCCTTGGAATTGATGTGCTGATCCTTGAGGAACTGCCTGAAGATTTTTCCAGGACCCTTTAGGTTGATGTTGACACGTTGAAGGATATTGATGAATTCCTTTTCGCCAATCTGATTATCCTTGTTCAAGTCTACATCGTACCAGGTGTACCTCAACAGCAAGGCTTCGTTATCCACCAACAGACGAGCCTTATCGTATTCTGCCTTCATTTTCCTCAAACAGTCTACAAGGTTTTTGCGCTCTTGGGCGTCATCGATCAGGACGTTGAGTGTATCATTTCCATGGTGGATAATGGTTACGATTTGTTCTCGCTGGGTATCAATTTCCGAAAAGAGTCCCTTGAGTCGATTCTCATTGCGGGCCTTTTCCAGTTTGAGTGTTCCTACCAGACCCACCACCACATCCACGAGATCGGCGACATCAATGTGTCGTTGTCCAGCGTCGCTGCCTTTTGTACCTCGCAACGACAACATGGATACCTTGGGAAGAGCCAGAGTAAAGGAAGATTCCGACTTGGCCATGAACTTTTCGATAGATTGGTGAGTACAGTAAATCGCCATCTTGTCCTTGCCAATGGTCAGATAGCGCTTGGCCATCTTGCCAGCCTTGTCCACCTTCATCACCGGAATGCCCTGGTGCCACTTCGAATGCTTGGCCAATTTCACATTGTCACCCAGAGCGGCCGTCACACTGCTCGCAGGAGACTTCACACTCGCCCAGTGCTTGCGGCGTTCGCTAGGGGTTGGCATGATGATGGATGATGATACTGCTGAATGTGCTGCTTTCCTTCAGAAGATGGTGTGCTATTATTACAAGCTCACCTTCGAAGGCAATCTATCTACAAGCTCGAATCGAGTCGAATCAACAATCTTACAATTTGTTGGAAGTTGGAAAGAAGAAGTAACAGAGCAACTGGCACATGTGCCACCAAGATGACCCAATCTTTGGAGCATGTTTTACCCCGGAAAAGAGGCTTTTCGTTGGATCCAATTCTGAGACAGGGTACTGTACCGGTAGTCCTTTCTGCTTGCTTGCTCCTAATAATAATAATGCTACTAGTGTCTAGCCAGACTCGACTCGATATAAGAATCATACGCCCTAATATGGTATGCTTGTCATGGTACAGTGTACCTGGTAATGTATGTTATCGGTGCAAGGTGAAGCAACAAAGGTCAACTGGTCACTCATCTTTTTGTGTCCAAGGGACAAAGATCTGGTACCGGTACATGACCCAAACACAACGAGTAAACCAAGGCACAAACTTCATGGGTGTTTGTCTATTTTTTTTTTGCTACGGTATTGTAAAAGTTCGGCAAACTGCGTGTTATATTCATTCTATATGTATAATAACAAGAACACTCGACGCGTGCTGCGAACGAATAAAGCACAAGCTGTATTCTCGGTCATGCCGTGTACAAGAAACAGCTGGGGAACAGCACAGCTGCAAAATAAATTCCATCTGCACAAACTTGCGTTGTCATGAGATAAGGAAGCGTTGCTGATATCAACAGAGAGTCAATTCGATTCCCATACCAGCTCATGCCACCCCTTAGAACCATGACCAGCTCCAAGAACTGCTACTTCCTTTACTTCCTTTGCTGCCCTTGCTACCTTTGCTTTTGGATGAGCTGCTGCTGCTGGATGAGTGATGATGGTGGTGGTGATGACCACGGTGGCTTCCTCTTCCGCTGCCCCTGTAACTCCCATAACTTCCACCAGAATAAGATCCGCTTCCTACGCTGCCGTAGCTTCCACTGCCGTATGAACCATAACTACCTGATCCGTAGCTGCCTGAACCATAACTACCTGATCCGTAGCTGCCTGAACCATGGCTACCCGAGTAGCTCCCGCTTCCTCTGCGGTGTGAACGTCCGTGATGGTGCCTGCGTTTGTGATTATAGTAGTGATGATGGTGTGAACTGCTGCTGCTGCTACTGGAACCCTTACTTCCTTTTGATCCTTTGCTGAAAAAGTTGCTCCAGAAACTTCCCTTGGATCCTTTGCTCCCTTTCGATCCCTTGGATGAGCTGCTGCTGCCTGAAGAATGTGAGTGATGGTGGTAGTGCTTGCGTCGATGGCGGCGGCCGTGGCCAGATCGTTTCCTGCGTCGACGACCATACCGTTTTTTCCCCAGGTTTCGCTCATCTTGTTCCACCAACGCATCCTCCACTTCCTCATCTACAAGAACATCATTAACCAAGTCACCGGCATCAAGCTGTTCAACACCATTAACTAAATCGATTTCATTTCTTGGTGGCTCAGCGTATGAGTCCACCAAGTCCCTCTGGTCGATGTCGGTCTCCATTTCTGCTGATTGGACGACATCGACTGGATCCAACACCTCCTCGGAAGCACCTTCGACCATATCCGCCAAAGACCTTCTGCCTTGACGCAGTTTTTGTTCCCCTCCACTTACATACTGGGGACTGAAGAGGAGGAATGCCGTTAGCACTTGACAGATCTTCATGGCGAAGGTTTCGATTGTGGCCGAAGCAAACAACAAAAGAGAAACCAAGAAATGATGATGTTCGAAGTGAAGGGCATGCAAAAGTGAGAAGAAGGTCCCTTCGCTTCAGCGTGTCAGCGTTTGAAATCGGACGAGGGATAACGGTGAACCGGGGAGTGACGCTAAATAAATAGCTCCGGCTCCCAAGGCGGTCTCATTGTACCAAGCTCAAAATTCAAATTCAAAGTTGAACTTGGTAATTAGAGACCTATCCCGCGCAGGTATTTCTCTTCACTTTTTATAGAGACGCCGTTGTTTTTTACTTTACCGATACCGTGGTCAGGTTTGTCATGTTGTCACCGATCCATTGTGCTGGAACGGTACCGGTATGTTAGTCTAGTATGTAGAGCTGTACATGATGTACACCAGTAGCTACATGTACTCTAGCTAGTAGTAGGGAGCAAAATGTACGGTACATCTAGCTAGCCTTCTATCGCTAGCTCTCTACATGTACATGTATCTACTACTCAGAGTAGCTAGTACATACTGAGTAGCTAGCTAGGTACCGGTATAAGTATGCATACTGTGCCTCCTTGATATAAGATAGTGCAGCTATTTATGCATGCTATTTATGTGCTCAGAGTATATATACCGGTACAGTAGCGACTCGACTCGCTCAGTGACTATACAACTTGATCAACTCTTCTGTGACGATGCGAGTTACAGGCGCCGTACTAGCTAGTCTCAATCTTTGTTGGCGCTGTGGTTGACCGTCGCTGTCTGCATGTCTTCAAGCCTAAACCTAAAACCATTCCAGGGGAGACAAAGACGAACCATTCACCCCTGTCAGTGACAATTCCTTGGTGCCATAGAGGCTACACTATAGTATTAGATGAAAACTTTCTTTTCGTGAACGTATTGATATGCAAATTGGGGCCTCTTATGCATAACATGATTGGGGATCAATCGGACAAACTCAGTGAGGAGCCAAACCTTCAGCTTACTCTTCCCCCATAGTAGTGCCGGTTGTGATCCTGTGAGGTTGTTGTTACGCTGGGGAAATAGTTTATCCAAGGATGCAACGTGTTAGTATGGTATGTGGTGGNNNGTAGTTGAGTAGTTGACATCATACAAGATGCATGGGAGATACTTACTTGTGAGCAAACCAATCTCTGTGGGAATGGTCCCCGTTAGAGCATTGTCACCCAGGATGTAGAAAGTATTCAGGTTCCTTGCAATTCCAATCTCAGTGGGGATTGGTCCACTGAAGTAGATATGCTCTAAATAACATTCTTCTAATTTGCCAAGCAGCCCCAGCTCTGAAGGTAAGCTGCCAGTAAACTGGTTTTCCTTCATACTTAGAAGCTTGAGGTTTGTCAACTGACCCATTTCCGAAGGGATTGTCCCGGTCATGTCAGTCATTCTGAGATTCAATTCATCCAACAAAGAGAGCTGACCCAGTGCTGAGGGAATCATTCCACTGAATGAGTTCTCACCCAACAGCAGGGTTTCCAAATTGGACAACCCACCCAATTCGGTAGGTAGGGTGCCTAAAAAGAGAGAATCAGCAATTGTAGATCAGGCATTGGTTATGACTTGGAATTGGCCTCTAACATGCAAAGACTAACCTGTGAAGTCGTTTTTGTTAAGAGTCAAGTCCATGAGTTGTTGAAAGGAACCCTTTGGAAGAATTGGAAGAGTCCCTGTCAACTTGTTGTTATCAAGTCGGAGCGCCTCCAAGTTTGGCAAGGATCCAAGCTCAATGGGAAATGTCCCTTCGATATCATTGTTATCAATCTCGAGTGCTTTGAGTGATGTGAGTAGAAGGAGATCATCAGCTGGAATTGTGCCCCTGAGTTTGTGGTTGGTGAAGATAAGGTACAAGTAGTTGCCATTGGCATCACACACAGAGGCATTTTCATTGCTTCCAGTATTCATTTTGCTTTCCCAGTCACATTCATGATGATCGTGTGACAACCAAAGATGGCTAGAGGTCCAGCTTTCCCCAAAAGTGGCATAGTAGAAGGTAGCAAGTGCCATGCGCTGGCGCTTCTGCTCACTGCTGTACGTTTGCAGTTTTGGATCATCCATTATCCATTGATAGGCTCTGGCTTGCGGTGATGAAGGATCGTCTCTAATGACTTCCAATGTAGTCTCGGGGAAGTCTTCAGCTAGAAAGAAACTTGGGGCTTGACTGGGGTAAGGAGAAGGTGCTTCGGAGGGTGCTTCAGAAGGAGGTGGAGTCTCAACTACCACTACCACTTCACCCTTGTCTCTTGTAAGAGTGACCATTAGAATAATGACAAGAAGAATACCCACAAAGAGGCAAGCCATGCCAGCGCAGCCAGCCAGAGATTGTGACTCTTTTCTCTTTCTTGAGCCCTCTTTGCAGCCACCGAATCTGGGGTTGCCTCCACAATCCCATCGTCATTGAGGTCTTCCTGAACTGGTACAGCTGTAGCAAGTCCTTCCTCCAGGTCTGCGGCGTTCTCTCCATCACTCCGTTCATTATTACCTTCCTCGATGACTCTCGCATTGTCCGCATGATTCTGTTCATGATTGCCCGGCTCGTCATCGTTTCCGCCTCCGAGAAAGTCTGGATCCCCAATTCTCTTCTTTGAACCGACGAAGTCCGGTCCAGAGCGACCTCGTAGTCCTGCTTTGGAGGCTCCAGCTGCAGCAGTTGTAGCAGCAGCAGCATTGTTTCCTCCCTCGAGCAAGTCAGGATCTCCAACTCGCTGCTTCGAGCCGACAATGTCCGGCCCAGAGCGACCTCGCAGTCCTGCTTTGGAGGCTCCAGCTGCAGCAGTAGAAGCAGCAGTAGAAGCACCAGTAGAAGCACCAGTAGAAGCACCAGTAGAAGCACCAGTAGAAGCACCAGTAGAAGCAGCACTAGCATTGTTTCCTCCCTCGAGGATTCGACGCTTTTCTTTAATGACACTTCTGCCGGCACTCAAGCCTCCTTGCTCTGAAGCCTCGCCATCAACGGCAACAGCGCCAGGTGTACCCGAAGTACTGTTCTGACGAAGGCCTGGCTTCGGGAGGTCAGTGAACTCACTTGTACGTGTAGCTCCACTCGTGATGGAACGGCTGCTGCTATTGCTCTGAGTGCTCGTCTTGCTTTGGCTCAAACCCGCCGCTGCAAAAGAAGCTTGCGCTGGGATCGCCTTGATATCCCTAGTACTGGGACTGGGACTGTATCCTTCTGAACCATCTCCATCTCCAGGATCGATGGAAACGGCCCCTGGAGCTGCCAATGATGCTGTCATTGGTCTCGTCAGACGAAGCTTCTCGTCGCTTTCTTGGCTCATGTTCATCCACAGCTATATAGTACGCTGTCTGGCTCACAACACACACGCAACCTCACGATGGCACTGATTGTGAGCTGAGCAACAATTTGATGTTGAGGCAAAGCGTACCATACTGGTACCGGTACGGTACGAACCGTCCACTTTCAACAGACACTTCAAGTTGAACAGATCCGGACCGGTGTGTACCGTACTGTTACTGTACCGTACCAGTACCACAATGGGGCTTAGTATGAAACCTCAACGTTAACTAAAGATTGCATAGCCATTTAGGGGGTGATCGCTGCCATTGTCAGCATTGGAGCGAATGATCGAATGGTTGAGGACTCGCACAGTAGTGTTTTTGCTTTTCTCATTGTTGCAGAGATGTTGGAGCTGTGCATTCGGGTGCAAAAGTTGAACCTGTGATGCACCGCCCACCAGTGCCGGTACGTACTCACGTGCTGGTGCTTCGGTATCAAACCGTACCGCTTTTCGATGTTTGAGCTGGTTCCGCAGAACCGGTACAGCATTAGCTTGGAAGAGTTAGCTTGGAAGAATGGTGGTTCCTCGTTCCTCGCGAATATGCAAAATAGATGTCGCTTGGGTGCCTGCAATCAATCATTTGCTACAACAGAGAAAAGAAGCAAGTGTTATACATGTACTTTTTAGTAGTTTACTACCGGTGCCACCGAGTAACTAAGATAGATACATTTGAACATGTACTATCTACATAGCTGGCATGATAGTACATCCTGTGGTTTCGCGCGAATAATCATTTGTGGTACAGATACTGATGCTTACTTTGCAATTAAGAAACACCCTTTTTGGCAATATCCAGGCTCAAGCACAACTACCGGTACCGTACCCTTACACTTGTACGATGTACTTGCCGACCGTACGGTACCGGTATGCCATGCACCGACACCACTCTCAGAGCTACCAATAGCTATTAATAGTACCGGTACTGTGGGGCTACATGGTAGATAGCTTTAAAAAAAGCTAGAATACCGGCAGGAAAGTCCTTAGCTCGACTCCGCAAGTACCTGTTACAGGTAATCTGTAATCTTAAAGACACGGTCAATAGCATACTTTCTTCCTGGGTGCAATTTTTCTGGTTTACTGCGCGATTGCAGGAGACAAACATGTAATATTGCTTCGGTACTGAGCGCCGTGCATGTACCTACAGTATCTACGATCCTACGAACCAGGGAGCTTTAGTCTATTTGTGGTACATACCGGTACCGGTACATCAAATTTTTCTTTTTACACTGGTCCCGTGTGGGCGGGTGTACGGTGCCCATCGAGCAAAGCAATGATTTTCAATCTTTTGTCGTACCGGCAGTTTCGGTATCCCCGGTCTCGAGGAAAGGTCGCGCCTCCTGCTGTACTGCAGTACCTACCGTACCCGTGGTAGACGCGGAAGCTAGCTAGCCAGTTCCATGCAGCAAACCCGCAGCCATCTACCGTACGGTAGTTTTGGGGCAAACCCGAAGACTTCAGGACAATCGCAGCTTCAGGTTTGCCCAGGCTCACAAGTATCCATCAATCAGCACTGAACCGCACAAGATCAATAATTATTGTAGTTGTCAAGTAAACCAAGTGTTTTAGTTTGTTGCGATGATGAAGGACGAGGGTGGAGCAATGGAAGAGACGGAGGAGCAGGTAAAGTTCAGGGCGAACACTCTGTCCCTTTCATCGAAAAAGTTCGACATTGGTGGCAAGGGGTATCTCTCGCCTGCGGAACGGTTGGCTCGTGAAATGGACAGCTGTGACGAGGGAGGGCTGAGCAATGAAAAGGTGGTCGAAATCGTTGAGGAAACGTTGAAGCTGCGAGAACACAACACACGGCTGATTCAGTCGGTGTCCAACATGAAGGTCCTCTCCTGTGTTCTCTTGGCGGTGGTGATGATATTGTCTCTGGCCAATCTTGGGACATCCTGGGTGGCAGTTGAGTTGGCCAAGGACACTACGATCGACACGAGTGGGATGATCCGTAGTAAGACTGATGGTCGTGCTGTGCATACTGTCGGCAATGGAGAGACGTTCGACATGACATTGGAAGACAACTTGCTGGATGGACACAAGTACTCATGTGTGTCCGCAGAGAAAGCAGCGAAGATGTACGGAGCAGCGAAGGATGGAGTCAACACCATTGCTGTATGGAACTCTAACGCAGCCACTGGCACGCAACAGTCGGGCATGGCGCTCTCTTTCCAAGGTAGAGTATATGCAGGACATGCACGTGCCATGTATATCCTTCGCTATAATCTCACACTATTGATCCCATTCGATTCATCATTCATTCTTTCTCCGCAGGGGCCACCATGAACGACACCCATGCCTGCCTTCCCGCACAGGATGGAAGCGACTCGATCTGTTTCCACTTTCACAGCAATGCTTGCGCTGAAGAACAAGAACACCGGCGGATGGAGGTCACGCCTCGCCAAATTGAACAACGCAGAAAACTTTTCCAGGACCTCATCGACGGCCGAGGATCCTCCGAGCACCATCACCCCGATCAACACCACCGACACTTGTGTCGCGCTCAATGCGGGGACTGCTGTAGTGGGCGCCGCTCGCTAGCCCAACAGGATACGTCCTGTGATAGTTGCAGCCTCGAAACGAATGGATAATTAGACTGCTTCAATGATGCCAACAAGGGTTGTGCGCCTGGCTGCGTTACACACCAAATTGACAACTTTTATGGTGGCGCTGTGTGTAAGGATGAGGGTGGGAGCTACGTTGATGTATTGTCAATTAACAGCGATGAATGTATGACAACGCAGGGTTGTTCGTCCTGTTGCGAGAAGATCAGAAGGGAGCAATGGTGCTTTGAAAACGTTTGCTTGAAGCCGTACATCGTACTGGGACCATCCCGGTTTAAACCCAAAATGTTTGAGTGATCCTTCACAGACAGGCTGTCAGAATATCTACGATGACCGTAATACTTACAAAGATGGAAAGTGTGCGCAGCCAGCAAAGCAAGACTGGTGGTCTCAGCCAACACATCAAGATGGGTTCGACGCTTGGGCCGATCTAGCAGGAGAGGCAGGCAACCCAGCCGGCGAGCCATTTCCTAACGCAGTGGCATTCTGCCATGAGTACTGTTGCTGCTGGCATGAAAACTGCGATCATATCAGACTTGCAACACTCATCACTAACATGCCATGCACTTGTTCCCTCTCTTGTGGTCTTGAACAAGTTCCCTTGCCCGGTGGCGGCGGAGGTGGGGCCCCACCCGGCGAGGAGGAGCCCGGTCCTTGAGTGTTGCATGTACCGATTCGATTCGATTGAATGATTCAATCTTTAGTATTGCATGGTGAGGAAGAAGAAGTGAGCAAGTGGGATGCCGAACACAAATCGCCCCAGGCATGTTGCATTACCGATCCAATCTTTAGTATCTTTTTCAAAACTACTAGAGTAACAAGTTCTTTGGTCACACCTGTCATGTTTGTTATGCTATCGCATCGTTGCAGCGCGAAATCTCATGCAGAGACGATTCTAATGTGAGCCTGAACTTGGACGCTTGCTCCTTGGCTTTCTGCTTCCTCTCAGTCTCCTACTAGATAGCTACGGGGGTAGCTTGTACATCGTCTTCCTGGTGTCCACGGAGGCTGTCATAGTTGGGTGCACTGTAGGTTGCATCCGTTTGGCTCTTGCAGCATCTCTTTTGATCCTGTTCATCCACACCGGTATCGCCTTCTCGAGTGGCATGCAGCAGTTTTTCGGGTGCGTCAGAAAGCAGCGATACCGATGGCATACCGGTAGGGTACGGATGTAATAGAAGCGAATGAAGCTGTCATTGGGGAGAAAATGTATCTATAATAACATTAACAAACTATTTCTCAGCGAGATTGCCGTAACAAGAAACAGCTGGACAGCATGGATGCATGCATTCATTCATTCATTGCGACTTCTTCTGAAGCCGTCGGATGGGAGCCTGTATCTACAGACACTAGTGAGATGACAAGCTCATCCAATCCAAAAGAGGCTAGCGAAAGTCTCGAACATCTTGAGGCTCGGAATCAGATTTAGAGCCTGTAATCGTCATCATAGTAGAAGCCGGAATGGCTTCCACCGCCTTTGCCCTTGCTGCCCTTGGAACCACTGGCGCTGCCGCTGTATCCTCCATGGCCCTTGCTGCCCTTGGAGCTACTGCTGCCGTATCCTCCTTTGCCCTTGCTGCCCTTGGATCCTTTGGAACCCTTGGAGCCAGAGTAGGAACCGCCACCCTTGCCGTAGCCTGAATAGTCAGTGTGGCCACCATAGCCCATGCCAGAGTAGCCACCGCTTCCGCCTCCTTTTCCTTTGCTGCCTTTGGAACCACTGGCACTGCCGTATCCTCCTTTCCCCTTGCTGCCTTTGGAACTGCTGCTACCATATCCTCCTTTGCCTTTGCTGCCTTTGGATCCTTTTGATCCTTTGGAACGACCACCACTGCCATAATCGGAATAATGGTAGCCTCCGCCCTTACCTCCTGTAGATATGTTATTGGGGAAAAGCTTGAGCTGATGGTATTATTTCATAAGTCCTCCGTGTTAAACTACCAATGAACTTACCATGGTCGCTGTAGTAGGGTCCGTGGTGATCCATAGACTCGTCAGAGTAACGAAGGGCACGGTTCTTTTCTTCCGTGGTTGTTGTCTCGACTACGGCATCCTCTTCCAACAATTCAGCTCCGGGAGCATTGATACCTCGCAGTTTCTTTGCATCGCTGAAGAAACAGGCTTGGCTAAGAAGCAAAGCTACAGCTACGATTGTCTGGAACTTGAGGGAGAACATTTTGTTTGGATGGAAGGTTAACAAGAACAAGATACTAGTAGACTAAGTCTGTAGAGGAGATTGCTTTCGAGTTGCTCGGAGCTGAAATTGTGAGGGTATCATCGGCGTCAAAAAACCTGCCCTCGAAAGCCCAGTTTAAATTTAAATTTTAAAGCAAATTCTTCAATTAGAAGAGATCGGCATCTAGCAGTTGGAACGTCTCAGCCATTCCAACGGTGGTGATGTTTAAAATCTACTGTATCAAGTTTAGTAGAATTGCACATGGGTTGAATGAACTGAGTCGAGTCCCGAGTATTGGGTGTATGACGTCATTGACCCTTTCAACGACATCAAACCTCACAACAAAGAACTTCCGATCGGGACGGTATCTGTACCGGTACAGTATCTCAGTCTGATATTGTTGGTTCTGTTGTAATTTCTGGTTGCTGCGTTGGCAATAACAGAAGGCAACAGGACATTGGAGCGGGATCATCGATTGGATGCAATCATCACTTGCTACAACCAAAGGCAGCTACTTCTGGCACTCAAACAAAACATCAGAATCCACTGCAATCTGCAACCCGACACAAACACAACTATGGAAGAACAGTTGTTTTGATGGCTGTTGAAGGGTGCTTGAAAGAATTCTTTCTGTACTGTTTTGTCAAGATTCATGATATTATCCGCAACTACATGTAGTGGGCGCTGTGATCTTTTTTATCATTCCGGCGAGATACCAAATTGCCGTTTCAAGCCGAGACCTTGGGTGTAAAGACGACAGGGCCCTGTGCATGTATCATGTATCATATTCCAAGAACGTTGAAAGTGCAAACTCAGTACGGTCAAATTAACGAAAACGGCAGTGACTGCAAAAATCCGTCGCAAAAGCAGTTTGTATGGTCCACCAGAGACGATGTCCAATGGCAGTTTGGGCGGGCAATATCCCCGCCCCTGTGCACTGACTCGGGAGTGGCTTTGAATGGAAGGACAGCGTTCTGTCGTGACAGCTTTCAAAGGCAGCCCACTTTGATGGGAAATGACGGCATCAATACTACGGAAAGGACTTTTACCTGATGATATCCCACTGCATTGAAACTTGAGGAATGGTAGAAAAGTTGTCAGTTCTCTGGGATTGATTCTTCCTTGTACGTACATACATAAGGAGACAGGAACGGGTCAATCCGGTAGAAGGGTCGCAAAAGAGCAGCGGAAGAAAGACTCGGCGAAGAATACCAGCGATGCCCAATACGGAACAATATTGATACATCCAACGATAATCATGCATGTATTCATAAATGAGACATGGATCTTCAGAAGAGATGGATGAGTTGGTCGAGTCGAGTCGACTCGTCACTCAGTCGAGTTTGTGCCTCTGGCAATGAACCTTTGGGAGCTGGGATTCACTGCAAGCAAACTAGCTATGACGTATAGTGGTTGCTAGAGATGGTTTTACCAGTCGATCCTGCAGGAACAAACGCCAATCATTACTTCGAGCCAATCATTCTTCTTCAACAGTCCTCCAACCCATGAACCTTTCATATCATCTTAGGCCAGGGGCCTGCGTCATTAGATTGGAACTCACTGCAAGCAGACTATGGAATGTAGTGGCAGCTCTAGAGATGGTCTTGTCAGTCAATACTGCGGGAACAAACGCCAATCACTAAGCTAGTGTAGAGGAGTTCTTTCTCAACTCATGTTCCTACCCTTGAACCTTCTGTGTCATCCGCGCCGTTAGATTCTTCGAAAAGAGTGTTGGTCCTGGCACCACTATGTACCCGTGTAGGCCTTGCCAGTAGTAGGCCATAGAGGCGCAACGTGTAGGTTCTGAACTGGGTTGACGGCCAAACATTGGTCATGGCGTTTGTCCATCAGCTACGATAAGACAGCCTCAATACTTGAAATGGGCCTGGCGTTGGTCGTCCAGGAAATGGGCCTGGTCTGGTCTGGTCTGGTGCGTTGCGGTTGCGAGACACATAAAGAGTTGTGCTGAGTGGCTGTCCAGGACAACGGTACGGTAGAGCCTGGAGTGGGACCAGCTGTATGCCCATGCCCTGCTCTGTAGCCGGTCCATCGGTACAACAGGCGGGCATTGGTCCAGGAGATGAGCCAGGATGAGCCAGCCAGACGATGAGACTTTCGGTATAGAATGCTGTTGACACAGCCATGCAGTGGTCAGATCATCGAGTCTCAGTCGCAAGAAGAGCTTCGTTCATATTGGAATCGAGTCAAACGCTCTACCGTGCCGTATCCCTGTGTCGTCAAACCAAAAACTATCACCGCCGTATGTTACTGCCTCTCCCTGACCCAGACACGGTACCGATGTGGTCGTCGTCAGGTGCAGGTATAGCTAGCTCTCGACCTTTCAAGCTCTGTACGGTAGGCTAGCGACAAGCTTTTGCCTCGGCTGTGCCAGGCTGCTATTTTACAAACAGGAATCCAATGATCTGCACGTTGTTTCGGTTTGATACCAGCTCTCATCCAAACTAAAGTAGAACACGACCAAGGTAGCTAGATCATGACCTTTCGGGTTCTAGGCTTTCTGCCTCGGCTGTAGCCAGGCTACTATTTACAGCCGGGAATGGAGTCTGCAAATTGTTTTTGGTTTGATACCCACTCCCATCTCAATAACCCAAAGTAACTGGGAACTGTGGAACACGACCAAGGCAAAGCTCGGGGTCTTTCGCGTTTCAGCACAACGATCGATGAACTGGCACCAGGATGATGTGTGTGATGTGGCTGACACTCTCGTGTGACGAGCTCCGAGGTCTCCGAAAAATGAAACCTGTATCTTGCGTAGAATCCGCGTGGAAGCAGTAGCCAAGGATCGAGAAGCCCCACAAAGATCCTTTGCGGCCATCGGATATCTTTGAGCAGCTCAGCTCAGCTCAGGCGATGATCATAACACAGTTCCGTCTTTATACTACTCAGGTATCGTATTTTATTCAGGCAAGAGGCATCACATACATAAACTGAAGACAGTGCACCAGTTCAGCTCGACCTTTGCTCTCTCTTGGTTCATCTCATATCTCTCATCAATCAATTTGCTGAGCTCATCGATCGTCCTTTGGCATCCTTGAAAATCAATCTTTTTGTTTATTTGGAAACAACAAGCAAGAAGCCAAAATGTCCGATTTGGAATTGAAATGTGTCAACACGATCCGTGCCGTGAGCGCGGATCAACCCCAGGCGGCCAATTCGGGCCACCCAGGTGCTCCCATGGGCTGTGCTCCCATGGCGTTTTTGCTTTGGACTGAATTCATGAACTATTCGTCCAAGGATGCCAAGTGGATTGCCCGTGATCGCTTTGTCTTGAGTAACGGTCATGCGTGTGCCTTGCAGTATACCATGTTGCATTTGACGGGGTACAAGATCGGAGTCGAGGATCTCAAGAAGTTTCGTCAGCTTGGAAGCATCACGCCTGGACATCCCGAGAGTTTCTTGACTGATGGTGAGTTGAGTTTGTTTGCGAGAGATGAAAGATGAAGTATATATATATATATATATATCTGTATGGCAGTCCCATTGCAAAAGATGGAGGGCAACAGATAGATTTGTCCATGAATTTGGGAAGATTCGATTCCTTCGAGCTCAAAGATACTGTGCTTTGAACACTGTGGTGATTGCTTGTCATCTTTTGATTTTTGTCGCGTGACTTTTTTCCTCATAATCTTTTTCTTTTCCAAAATAGGCGTGGAGGTCTGCACTGGACCCCTCGGACAAGGAATTTGCAATGCTGTCGGAATGGCCATTGCCGAACGCCACTTGGCTGCCACGTTCAACACCGATGATCACAAAATCTTTGACAACTTCACCTACGTCATTTGCGGAGATGGATGTCTCCAGGAAGGAGTCAGTGGAGAGGCCTGTAGTTTGGCTGGGCACCTTGGATTGGGAAAGATGATTGTCCTCTACGACGACAATGATATCACCATTGATGGACCCACATCTCATAGTTTCTCGGAAGATGTCAACAAGCGCTACGAGGCATATGGATGGCATGTCCAGACCGTCGACGACGTCTCCAAGGACCTAGGTGATCTCCGTGCTGCCATCAAGGCTGCACAAGCGGAAACCAATAAACCCTCCATCATCAAAATCAAAACGGCCATTGGATATGGAAGTCCTTCCAAACAGGGCTCGGAAAAAGCTCATGGAGCGCCTCTTGGAGCCGAAGATTTGGCTGGGGCCAAGAAGTTCTTTGGTCTCCCAGAAGACAGTAAGTTTGGGTAGCATGCTCCATGGGAAAACTTGTGGAATGGATTGTGCGATGCACTCATCACTGATTGATGGCTTGCTCCTTCAACATTTTGTGATTCCCTTTCTTTTCAATGCAATGCCATCAATGATGCGTGCGTTCAGAGTCATTCTTCGTTCCTGAAGATGTCCAAAAGTTTTTCACTAAAGCAGCGGAAAAAGCGGACAAGAAACGTGTCGAGTGGGATGCTAATTTTGCCAAATACACAGCGGCCAACCCAGAAAAGGCCGCTGAGCTCTCCCGTCGCATCGCCCACAAGATGCCGGATGGAGTCTTTGACAAACTTCCATCCTTTACGATTGGCAAAGACAAGGATTTGGCATCCAGAAAGCACAGTGAAAATTGTTTGAATGCCATGTGCCCACTGCTCCCGGAAATGGTTGGTGGATCTGCGGATTTGACACCTTCCAATAATACCCGCTTCAAAGGTGCCAGTGATTTCCAAAAGGCAACCCCAGAAGGTACTGGCATTATTTCTTGGATTTTCTTTCGCACCGTCTTTTGTGTAATCTCATTCCACTTCCCATTCGTATACTTTGTTACTCTCAGGTCGCTATCTGCGCTTTGGTGTGCGTGAACACGGCATGGCGGCGGTCTGCAATGGAATCTTTGCCTATGGAGCCTTGCGTCCATTCTGTGCCACTTTCTTGACCTTTGTGGGATACTGTGTCGGTGCCATTCGTTTGTCGGCTCTGTCCAAATCAGGAGTCATCTACATCATGACTCATGATTCCATTGGTCTTGGCGAGGATGGGCCGACTCATCAGCCCATTGAAACGATGGAAAGTTTGCGCTGCATGCCCAACATTATGGTCTTTCGCCCAGCCGATTCCAATGAAATGGCAGCGGCCTACAAGGTTGCCTTGTCCAAGTCGACTACGCCTTCTGTCATTTGCGCGTCACGTCAAACGCTAAAATCCTTGAAATTATCAACCATCGAGAAGGCTTCAACGGGTGCCTACGTTGCCGTGGAAGCAAAGGATCCCAAGTTGGTGCTGGTTGCCACTGGCTCTGAAGTTGGTATCTGCGTGGAAGCAGCGGCCAAGCTCACTGCCGATGGTGTGCCCACCCAGGTTGTTACAATGCCCTGCCAAGAACTTTTCTTGGAACAGACCCAAGAATACCAAAAGTCGGTGCTTCCTGGTAATGTGCCCACCCTCTCTGTCGAAGCCGCTTCCCCTTCTGGTTGGCACCGTTTCAGCCACGCTCAGATTGCCATGAATTCGTTTGGAGCGAGTGGCCCAGGTGGCGAGGTCATGGCCCATTTCGGGTTCACGACGGATAACGTGGTCGAGAAGGGAAAGGCTTTGACTGACTTTTACAAGGATGGGACTGTTCCCGACCTCAGCAACCGTCCTGTTTTCGAGACTGTTGGTGGTCATTAAGCGACGAAGCTTGGGTTATTGCCTGGCCACGATGGTCTGGTCTGGTGTGGCGTTTGAATAGAGGAAGTGTCGAATTGTCGCAGCGGCGGCATTTACAACTCTACTTCGCTGCAGGAGCAGTAGTCAGTAGACAGTTTACATAAGAATCATATAACAGAGCTCAAGAATGCTTCCGTTTTGTTTTGACAGAGGATGTTTGATTGAATGATTGCATGGCGCTTTCCCTCCTCTCAATGCAAGCTTCTCGTGTCTAGAGTGCAATATGTCAGAGCAAATTGTAGATCGTTCTACGCATAGTTGGGGGGTTGCAGTGCCAAAATCTTCCTGGAGTCGCCACTATCATGGTGATATGTTGCATGTATTAACTGGACAGATGCAGTGCCAACCAGCGCAGTCAGTGGGACCCATAGCTTGCGAGTGTGATGTTGATCCGAGTCGGTAGGACGAGAGGGGCAGAAATGCTCGAACATCGCCGAGGGTCCATCGGGTTGGCAGTCTACTCAAACAAGCCGTATCAAATATCTTCCTTTTGGTTGCCGAGCGAAGCATTATTCTATGAGTAATGATGAAAGACATCCTTAACAAAAGTACTGGTCGACTATATGTGACACTCGTGAAGCTGTAACGCTAGAACACGTAAATTAAAGATACTGATCATGCAGTGGAACAAGAGGAAAAGAAGGCGATGTGGAGCTGCAAAATCTGCGTCGGCAATCCATTCGAAAGAAAACCGACGCCATGGAAACCTTGTAGGTGAGCGATTGGGTGCAAACACTCTTTTCTACTCGCGGTCGGGGGAACCACCCTCTGGAGGATCTGGCCTCGCTTCTGCAGGTTCGGCAGAAGGGCCATTCATTTGCCCATTTTCTGCTTGCAACAGAGGCTCTCGAAGGAGGTTGTTGAGAGTGACTCCGTGCTCTTCGGCGAGGGTTCGCCTTCTCCCTCTTCGATGCAACAACCAACGTCTCCACCAACTCGGTTCCGACGAAAAGTCTTCTTGGTCTTGGCCTTGTTGAGGCTGCAGCTGATTGTTTGCCGTGGCAGTGACCAGATTTTCGTGCCCGCCTTCACCGGTGAAGCTTAACATGTCGACGAGGTGTCGCCAGGTCATCACGCTTGCACCCGACTGGCCATTGGATCCCTCAGCTGCTGCACCCTCGCCCTCTTCATCTGACGAATCTTCCTCTTCCTCCTCCCAGAGTCTAAAGTTACATAGAAGTTCGAAAGGTGAGAAGTGATCGGAACAAGCAGTCGCCGGTTGAAATGGATCGCCCTCGGTGGTGGGTCAACACCCAAGCCGAAACGAGAACGACCGATTTCTGCCTGAACTTACTCTGTCTTGCAAAGCGGGCACGTCGCGGATCGTTCTGCTAACCACCTGCCAATGCACCTAAAAAGGAATCGAATCGATCAAGAGCCGCAATGAATTGACGTATTCTCGCAACAGCGGCAAGTGCAAGTAAGAATGTGTAACACGTACCTGTAGTGAAATGCATGATTGCATGGCAAACACCGCAACTTGTCTCCAACTTCGTAATCATCCAAACAGATAGAACAGCAACATAACTCTACTGCATGCGGAACTTGGGGTTCCGCCGGCAAGAGACCCTCGGACGCCGAGTCCACTGGTGGAGGTGGTGGATGAGTGGCCGTATAATGGGGTTGCAATCCTTCTCCGTCAAAAACATAAGGTGGAAACAAGCGGCGCACTTGTTCTCTGGTCAATCGCCTCCGTCGTTCCCTCTGAGGCTGTTGGTTTTGGGTTTCTTCTTCCTGCTGGTACCAGAAAACGCTGCCATTGTGGACGACGAGCAAGAAGGTACAGGCGCAAGCACTCAACAACGCCGAAATGGCCATCCAAACAATAACTTGTCGATTCCCGACTTTCCAGCCTCCATCCAAAAGCACCCGAGGCCCACCAATTTTTCGGGTCTCTTCTTTTTGTTCATTCACATGCGCCATAAGGTTGTAAAAAGTGCTGCTTGACACGTGAATCACACCCAGCGGCGAGGAAGCTGCTGCTGACGCTCCAAACATTTGGTAGGGGGAGGCACCGCTATTGGTTTTAGGGTCCACCAGCCAATCTGTTCCGGAATACCCAAACATGGATTGGAAATCATAGCCAGTAGTACTAGGGCTACCATTGCTTGTCTCCTTCTCGTCGTCCAGGCCAGAGAGGGGATCATCTGCCTGTAACTCTGATAGAGTTCGCAGACTTCGGTCGCCATTCACGACGATATACCCGACGCTACCCTTGGGGTAAATGTTTTCCATTACGAACTTGACCTTTTCCTCGAGCGTGCATCCCTTCTCAGAAGCGAGTAGAGCCACTGCAAGTGCAAAGCATCAACATTCAGGAGGATGAGGAAACACATGGAAGAAAGAAGCAATCTTCAGAAAAACAAAAAGTGGAATGAATCGATCTCGCATCCATTACAATCGAGAAAATCCAACCAAAGTCTCATCTCTCTCTCTCTCTATTTACATATCGTACCTGGCAAACTATCTGGTGGTACAATTGTCAAGTTGACCTTTTCTCCTGGAATATGTGGGCAGAGTGATGTGTGTCCCGGAATATATTGAAGGCGGGCCATGTACTCGTATCCCCTTTTGAAGGCTTTATAATGATGATCGGCCCGACTAGAGTAGCGGCTACCCCCGTCCAGCACCGTGATGGATGCGGTGCAGAGCAACGGCAGGCATAGCGCCACCGTAAGACGTCCAAGGACGCCTCTTGACGATTTGTTCGCAATCGTCATCGATGTTGTCGATTGCTAGGTCGCGGAATAAATGTCAGCCAGAGTGATGAGCGGGTGCTGGGTACCCTGCTACTTCTCTGCTGTCCGCTAGATGGATAGAGGTGGGCCTGATCTATCAATTCCTGCCGCCAAGGACTGTATTATCTTTGTGTGTTTCGCTTGAAGGCTTGCAACAAGTCTGCTGTGGGTTGTTTCTACCGTCAATACCAATCGTCCTGGTTTCGTTCTCTTGCTGTTTCTCTTTCTTGAAATAAGAAGAGCAGCGCGCTGTTGACATGGTTCATGCGGCAATCTTGCTACGACTAAAATTCTTCCTTGGGCCTCCTTCTAAATTTTTAGAAAAGACCCAAAATTGGTGTTTCAGGCTATTTCCCCCCGAAAATCGGGCATTTACCCAGTGCAGGTGCCAGAGGATGCCTTCAGCTCAATTGCCTCATGTCTGTAGCGTGTAGCGCATCCTTTAGTCGCCAGATTGTTGGCTGGCTACTGGTAGCTAGCTATACTGTTTCGACCTCGAGGATAACTTTTAATAGATGCACTGCCGTAGTCAGTCTGCTGATGGGCTAGCTATTCATTCTATTCTCTGGATCAGCTGTGGAAGTCTTTCCTCCTTTGAGGTTGACACTGTTTTTGCTCGTGCTTGCTTTTGGACTTTACTTTGCATTGCTTTGCTTTGCTAAGGTGTCTTTGTGGTGCTTGCTTTCGTCTACTGCTGGTACTGTACTGTACCGGTACTTCCTTTCTCGTCACAGCTGGTGGAACTACAACACCCAATCATGTACCTGGTTTCAAACGATGCACCACAACCAAACGCTTCCCCGAAGTGAATGCCACTGAATCATACCTGCTTGAACGGCAAGTAGATAATTCCTACGAGTTCAACACATTGGCAGATTCCTCCCAGTGCGAATTGTATTCCTCCCAGAGCTCCCCAAGGGTAGACAGTTTATGCCCACGTCTGTGGTTGGCTGCTCCGATTCGATAGGCGTGCAGCCATTGCCCGATGGCCAGTTTGTATCGTTGAAACATACTCATCCCAGGGTCATACACGCTCAGCAACTCGGAAGTCATGCCGTTTAGCTCAATTACTTTGAGGGTCGCCTTGCCGTCTTTCAGGTCTTCCTTAGTTCCATCGTAAAGAAAATCAAATCTGCCAAAGTAAAAGCCATCGAATTGCTTGGCAATCTTGTCCACCTGTTTGGCCAAAGCCGCAGTGATCAGATGACTGCCGTCTAAGCACAACGTGCCTTTGCCATGATTGCCCAGGTACGTGAGTTGGAACTCTTCACCTTTTGGTAAGACGGACAACAGCCGCTCAGCGTGGCGCTTGAAAAAGGTGTCTGCAAACAGCCGATGTCGAGGATGGGATGCAATGAGTGACGCCAGCGTGCTCTTGCCATCTCCCACAACATAAGGGAACTCCTTCGCGACGATGCTGTAGATAAACCCTTCCTTTGCGTCCGGGTAATGCATGTAGAAAATCCCCACTTCCGACCCTTGAACGAATTCCTGGCAGATAAGGTCCATTGTCTTCATTTGCTCCAGGTAGCGCAAGAGGGTGCCGTTCATGGCGTCGTCTTCCTTCACCAGATAGACTCCATTTCCTCTTTCTCCCTTGTCTGGCTTTAATATGAATGGCATCGAAATACCGGCAATTTGTGCCGACTTGAGAATCTCTGCTTTCCTTTTTTTGGGGTCATCGCTACTACCATTCATTGGGAAATAGAGCGTCTTTGCAATGTTGTCTTTTGCCAGTTGCAGCAGAATGTCATTCTTGCTCTCTCCAAAGAAGCCGCCCGATGGAATGGCAGGGTTCACAGCCGTTGGTGATCGCGGGGACAGACCAATGCAGATGTAACTGTACAACAAGGCTGGAAGGACAGGCAGATATGCGCTCAATGAAGGCCAAAACTCCCAGAAGAAGAATCGTAACCAAGGGGCTCTTTGGGCTGCCGCGTCAATCGATGCTTGGCAGGTGATGTCCCTATCGGCGTCCCAAAAGGTTATTGTTGTCATGGTCATGTGTTGTTTTCGAAAATGTGAACTTCTGTGAGTGCGAGTGAGAGGTTGCCTTGTTAGCTTACAGCGAATTCTTGCATGCAGGAACGGAGGAACCACTATGTACCGTGGTACGACGTGAATTACTCTAGAGTACAGTCGTACCGGTACCCAGGAGACTATGGTGATTACGACTCAACTGTGACTCGACTCACTCGTCACTCAATTTCACCGCCGAGCAAAAAGCTGGCAGAGCTATCAATCGGCCCGGGAGTCAAGCCTGTTTCGTGTCCTCCACCCGGTCCGATACTCGTACCGGCGCGTACCAAAAAGGTTCCAAAAAGCATCTCTGCCGCCCCATGCAAACAGTCGGACCACCAGGGCAACTTACTAGCTACCAGTACTAGCACACAGATGGGACCATCACTGATAAAGCTACCAGTGCCTGCGCAGTGTTCTCTGTGCTGATAGCAGCTCCAAGCAGAAGTGCTCTGCTGTGCAGGCTCTGGCGACCTCGCAAGGACAATACCGGTCCATAAATGGCACTCAATAGTGCAATAAGCATCAATGCGTTACCAAGGCACAGCTTGGACCTAACGATTGCATGGAGCATGGAACATGGAGCTACATGTAGCCAGACCAGACCATTGAGACACTGTCAATTGTCAATGATGATTTGTCGATGGTGTCCCTTTTCCCTTTTAGCCCAAGAGTAAGAATTGCGACGATCAATGCAGTAATTTTAGGGTGACAAAATGGCTTCACAGATCCCTGTTGAGACAGCTCGTTGCAGATCCACTCATAAATGGAGGACGGAACATTGAGCGTTCTGTAGCTTTTGAGCATTTAATAAGTGTTTCCTTCTTTTGTTGTAGAGGTTCTTGCTTCGAGACAGGGAACAGCCCTGTCTGAAGACCTCTCGAGTACCGGCACGGACGTTGTCTACCGTCAGTATTGCAGTATTGTTCTCGGAGACGGCAAAGCAGTCTCCGATTAGTACTCTACCAGAGTACCGGTATTGTGGTACATGTACCCCTGTCAAAGAAGAGCCAGAGCGTAAAAAGGAACTGTAGTTAGATCGTGCAAAAGTCAGGATCCAGTGCAAGTACTAGTAGCTGGGCTCTTCTACCAGGTAATACAGGAGCCATGGATATTATGGCAAAGATATCGGTATTGGTATCATTGCCCGCTACTATCTAGACAGAGTGGAACCTAGCCACGCTGCCTGCCAGGTGTGGGCCCATGTAGATGTTGAGCTACAGTGAAGATCATGTACATGCATGTAATGCAACTGGGACCACCAGGCAGCCCAGCCCTTCGGATTGGTTGCATCTGGCCAGTTGCTCTGTGTCGCAGATTGCTCCTTTCGAAATGTAGCAGCTTACCATCCGAGGATAGCCCCAAGCACCCTTGAAACATGATGAAAACTGGCCCTGGAGAGGCCGAGTTGCGACCTTGGCAACGGCGGCCCGAGCCTACCGGTACGATATGCTCTGGCTTCTTGCTACTCCCAAGGCGTTTTCAACTATGGCTAGCAGCACGATTGTAGGATTGAGAAATGGTGTTTTGCTATGATACAAACTTAATCAAAATCTAGAGCTTTTTGGTTTGGTATTTATATGTTGGAAGTCTAATGTGTTTGGGTATTGGCAAAATCGCACTGTAATAATGTTACAATACTAGTAGCAGGAATCTTATGAACACTTTGTGGTGGAAGTAAATTGATGGAGGTCAGATCGCTTATCGCGCTCGGAGTTTGGACCATAGCGCCTTTGGTTTGCGAAAGAGATTCTTCTTGGTGGTGCTGGCTTGCTTGTTGTTTTGCCCTTCTTGTTGCTGCAGTTGTTCTTGCATGACTTCTTGCACGGATTCTTGACGCAAGATTCTCGCTTCGGTAGCCTCTGCGGCGGCCACCAGTGACGTTCGCATGGGGATTCCATTCAATGATAGCAAGCAGAATCGTTCCTCGGCGGTCAGTCTTCGTGGCTTTTGGTTGGTTTGGTAGCTTGGAGCCCGTGAGAGTTCAAACTCATCTACAGAGTGAACCGACGAATGCATGGCCTCCCATTCAATGGTCAAAGGGGCGCCTTCCGAGACGACATTGTCGCCCAAGGTGATGGCGTGCTCACAGACATCCACAGTGTGAAACGAGACTCGCTTTCGACGCAACAACGAAGGGACGCGCTCGGAGTTCCTGCGCTTCAACTCGGGCAAACAGTTGCTGCCATCTTCCATCATGGTAGTGGCAGTATCCAAACTCATGTGTCTCTTGGCAGTGGTAGGCATGATGTTGGATTGATGTGTTGGAATGTTCTCTTGGTCGTTGGGATGAGACTAGAAATAAATTATGGAACACTTCGCAAATGTTGCCTTGCTTTTTCTTGATTTGCACGGGTCAGCACAAACACTTTGTTTCAGTCACAACGACCTGACTGACCTGACTGGTTTTGGTCGACCAACGTCAAGGCTGCTCAGACCAGCTACTCAGAGGAACCGCCTGATTAGTACTATTTCACTATAGGCATCTCAAAAAGGCATTTGGCACGAGGCTAAGTCGTATGCAGGATTCTACTTGAAGTTGTGCTTTGTGAACCATTCCACAATTCTCGCAAATGAGAGGTTTGGAAACAACTCACCCACTTATTCTTAGTTTTACACACAACAATTAGCATTACCATTACAAACAATCACAGTTTACCAAGGTATTTGCTCAGGTACTTCAGACACAGCAAAGCCACGGAATGAAACGTAATGAGGAACTCCCGAACTCCAAAAGTTGACAGTCATAAAGCTGTCATAGTGCATAGACGCATGCCTTTTGGATCCCTGTTTAAACCTTGCTTGCATCAGGTGCGCACTCCGTTCAGAAAGTCTACGAGGGTCAATAATAGGTCGATTGCTACCTTGTATGCCGATTTAATTAAGCTTTCCTGTTAAACGGTACTCTGGATTTATTATGTTCCATGTTCCCTCTGCTGGTGTCCGTGGTGACAGTGTATCCTTTGCTTCCTCTCAGATCTCAGATCACTCGGAACCTTGCTTGTGTTGTTCCAGCGGACTCGATGGATTCCATTGCTCTTCCATTGGGTTCATTCAGAGTCAAAAGCATCTCGAAGCGGCAAGGCGTCTTCTTTGGTCGATGTGCGACAATAACTCCCTTCATCGATTGGCAGTTGTTGTCTTGTTGGAACAGAGCAACAATTGCTGAAGATTCCAAAACGTTTCAGATGCTTTGTATCGATCATAATCAACGGCACGAGGCCACCAAGTCCTAGCCAATCGGTTTCAGGTGTCTGAGCGGCGTTGGTGCATGATGAAGAGGTAGCATTATTATTTGGGCTTATCGGCATGAAGACGGTCTACGGTACAAGGATGAGTTGCCAAGTAGCTCCTGTACATCGTAGTTGACATCTTGGGTCTCTGTCCCTACTACTCAGTGACTAGTAGCTATGATACCTTTGGCGAGTGTCTATCTTTTATCTGGGCCGATTATTCCGTCTCGCGACAAATAAATGCTCGAATGTAATGTGCTCGGTGCCCTGGAGTTGTCAGGTTTGGTAATGATCACGAAGGCAGGGTACGAGGGGATAACGGTCAAGTCTGCTTGGTTACCTCGAGACCGGTCCAAATTACATCCTGGACTCGGGTCGCCAAGAAATGTTGCAGACAGCAGAGTCCTTTTGCGGCAGTTGTTTCATTGCGGCCCGGTTATGCTTTCATTGTTTTGGCCCTGGCGAGACCTGATGGAGTTATGGAATTCAGTACTCCGAGAAAGGGCTGCCAAATTTTCAATGCTACAATACGAGCAGCTTCGATTTTTCTGATTCAAACGCGTGCCGGCTTTTCTGGTACACTTCTACGAGTGCTGGTGTAGAAATGTACGAAGAAGCACGGCTCGCGTTTGAATTAGTAGAAACGAAGCTGCCTGTACTCTACCATGCAGTACATCGTAGACGCCGCCAGGAATAGACCTTTAGCAGCTGAAGAGTCGTTAGCTATCAGGGCAGCTAGCCCATTGTTTTGGCTAATAGCTAGCTAGCTGAAAGAACAACAAGAGGCAACAAAGAAAGCAACTTTACAAGGTTCATTAGCTACTGTAGCTAGATCCCATACAATTGAGCTACCTGGTTGCCACTCATGTTGTCATGGTACTCCCGCATGTCAAAGAGCTCTTCTCCCTGCTCCATTGTTAGCTGCACCAAAACACATATGGCACGGACGCAGGAACCATGCTTGGAAGCCCCATGGCGGAAGGGCACATCCAGGGTATGGAAATTCTTGAGCAGTCGGTTGAGCTTCTCCTGTCGCATGCGAAGCCGTCCACGCATGCGACGCTGGTCCTCTCGAGTGCGCATAGAATGGGGGCACTTGCACTTCTCCCGTTCGGCAATGTAGCCATCGTTCGGCTTCCACTTTCTCACCCACATCATTTGTCGCGTAGTCCATTCTGAAGTACTGAGGTCATTGTACTCAACATGAGGTGTTGGT